AGACTCTCAGACTCTTACTGACTAAAAATCAGACCGTTCCTACTCCTGCTCAGAAACGGATCTCTGGTACCATTATGGCCCTGTTCGTTGGACGTCGCGACGGTGGTGCACTTTGTGTCAACACACGCCTCCGAGGCAAAGTACTCCTTTCTCTTTGGGTGAAGCACTGAGGAGATTTCCACCTCACTCCCGCATGCACCCTTAAGTGGGGCCGACCAGGTGGGTGAATGTGCTTCGCGCACGCGCACTACACCGCGTGAGAGAACGCACCGGGCAGCTTTTAGTCAGTTGGATAGTTCTTCCCGAGCCCTTCATCTTCCCGAAGCGAGGAATCTCTATTGGATAGGACTCTCCATATTGGAATTGAAAAAGATGTTCATCTGTCAAATCTAGCAAGTACTTTCCCTTGAGTCGCGGAGAACCTAACGGGTTACCGGGGCACCGGCTCGACGTGCAGGAGAATGAACGGGGTGGTTTTTAGTCAGTAAGAGTCTGACACGCCGTCTCGCCTCACCCAGGCGGGAGCTGTCATTCGATGACTTTCCCCCCTTAAAAAAAAGTAATTTCCCTTTTTATTTAATCACCATTTCATCACCCAAAACCCATACTCTGACAGTTTTGATACTTTTGATTCTGAGGTTTTGTAAGTAAGCCCATCTCAATCAAGGTCACTCCTTCATCTCCAAATACATCAGAAATATGTATCAATTTAGTAATCACCTACATGCCCCATGCTATCCCCATCATCGCCTGCCCCATCTACACCCGAACCTGAACACACAGTGTGTCGTTGACCACTCAAGTTGTGTTTGACATTTTATTTTTATAAGAGGGCCCAACCACCCCAAGGTTATTATCATATATAAAAAGAATACATGTTTAGGAAACTCTCTTGTCTCTCTATTATGTCGCATATTCTTCGATGACGTGGAGAATTAAGAGGGAGGCGAGTGTCATGAAGCACTGCTTGTGAAGGTTAGGAGTCGACCTGATGTTGGAGCCGAAAGACCGTCAACGGAACTCTTCAACGGCTTACAGCAGTTTCCCTGTATTTGGGCTTATTCAATTTGTAATGATGAGACATTTACACTAACATAATGTATGACTATCCTTAGGATGACTCGAGTTCGATTTCTAGGATGGGCAAAGTATTAAGTTTTTTTTTTCAATTTTGCATTTCTCAGTAATAGGAATGAATTTGCCGAGCCAAATGAGCCCGATCCATAGCAATAGGCTCACCCTCTGTTCCATGAGACCATGAGACCCTTGTAATCCCCCTTGCTACTTAGTGATGAGTCATAGAAGGTAGGGTGTTATATTTTGAGCACATCTGCCAACACTTTCAAGTGTTGAAATGGCGTGATATTATTGATGTCTTGATTAATCATTAGATACTGTGCCCCAGTTCAGAATGTGACGAATAAAGACATTCAAAAAACATTTATTTGTGAATAACAATTTCTCGAATAGGTATCGCATGAATAAAATAAAACACAAAAATTAAAAAAAAAACATTTATTTTCCGCAATGATAACAAAAATGACTAATAATTACAAAAATCAAAAATACAACGTTTGCCTGAAGATAATTATGAACAAAACAAAATATTCAAATAATTCTCCCAACACGTCATTGTTTCTTACAACTGATATAATAAATTAATAATCAAGTCAAAATCTATTAATCTGAGAATACAGGATTACGATACATACATTGAGCATATCCTATTGATAGCTTCGTTATCAGACATGGAAATCTTTTGAACGCCACAGACGGCTACTATATAGCCAACAAACGACAGCTTACCCTACACGCCAGCTACCAACGGCTACAGCCAAGAAGAACATCAATGTAGGCATTATTTTAAGCCTATCTTATAAGCAATATTCTATTTTAAAAATAGCGGTTGAAAACCAATTATTAACTGGTCTTCGAACATTTAAGAAAACGTCTTCAAATCTCTTTTTAGAGATATTTGCGATGTTCATTCGTGTGGCGGTGGTATAGTGTCGATGCGTTCGCGCTCTAGCGATGGCGTTCAAACGACTAAAGTTTCGATTATACATAGACAATAATCTACAGTTCCTACGACATTGATGAATTAAAAAGCGTAAATACGTTAAGAATATATATTATAAAAAGCGAGTTTATTTCGATATGCTCTAAAATAGAATACAATACTTATATTATAGTCAGTTAAAAAGAGTTCCAAAATATTTTTCCATCATTTAAAAATTAAGTCAGCTCATATCTATATAGGAATACAAAGAGAGTACGATATGTTTACCTTTTATATTAAAAAGATAAGTACTTATTGGTTCACTAAGTAATCGAGTACGCTCCAACATTAGTCTCAAAGGTCAAAAGGATGCCATTTTCGTAAAATGGACAATATCTATGGACCATAAGACACGTTGACTGAAGTTAAAGCGTAATATTTGTAATTCTTATCCATTTAAAATGCATAACAATAGCAAAGAGCGGCAGGAAATTAGTTATTATGTGGACTGAGCTGCGAATATCATGATGTATAAGCATCTAATACAAGATATAAATAATGTAATATAGTCCCCCATTCGTAATAATTTAAATATTATATAGCGACGAATCCTCAATAATTTAAATCGTCTAAAAGTGGTTTAACCATTTTTCTTACACGTATCGCAAGTTAACTTATACTAACGTTACACGCTAAATTTCACCCAATTCAGCTCATAGTAATTACACAATTAGTTAAACACCTAAATCGTTACAATTTTGCGCAGAAACTTCATTTTTATACAACTTACAATAAAGAGGCAAAACGCCCTATTCATTAAACGGTTTTATTTAGCTTGCCCCGTTTGTTTGATTGGGTTAAATTTAGTGATTGGTATTTCATCCCTTTAGGCCGGAACTGAGTTAATGGGGCACCCGCGCGGTTTCATACAAGTTAAGTGCTTCGTCGCACGACGGATCCTGTCGAAGGGGCACGCGCGGTTACGCCAGCGATAACACGGGCTTATTCAGTCAATAATGCTGGGTAATACGAGTCCCACACACGGTTGGAGAAAATCAAAGACAATGTCTTTCGATACAGAGGGGGTAATTCTGAAAAGCAGTGTCACCCTGCAAATCAAGCGAATTAATTGTATAAGGGCCGAGACTCCCGAACAGCGGCATGGATTGAAATTTACAAAGAATTGTTTGAAAATATGGTTTAATTACAAAAATAATTCGTCGTCGACCCGTACAAAAACATTAAAATATTTTTAATTTTATTTTTAATTTACTGAACTTTATAACATTCCCCGCACAAATAACCTAGATCCGATAAACGGTCTTATTAGCTGTCGTTATTTTTGGTAGTCGTCGTTTTCCTACGTAATAATAAATCAAGTTCTTTAGACACGACTATACAAGCACACTGTTAAAATTGAACTAGCGAAACTGCGTAAATCGGCCTCCGCGAGGGATCATCGTGTACCAACGGAGACCACCCGAGTGCCCACGAGCGTAGACACGGTTGACCGTCGGCGGGCGCCCGCTTACTAATGACAGATCGATTTGATATTTGGTACACACTCTTAATCCGTTATATTATCCTCCATTATGAATATCAAACGTAAGGGTTTGAATACAGCTTATTAAAACCGTTTAACTTAAAAAATATTTTTATGTATTTCTTGTTTTTACTTTCTTTTTATTTTTAATTGGAACTCAACCAATCAGTTTGTAGAGAATCAATTACAATTTAAATGTCAAAATGTAAAAGTTTATAGAAGACATATTTTTATTATGTAGGTAAAATCAGTAGCAATAATAATAGTAGTATAATTTGCATTGGTAAAATATGTACAACAAAGACGTCGGTAGATTGTCAATACTCACTAAACATAATCACATAGATATGACAAACTACCACACACCTTTACTAATACCTATTACATGTTACATGATATATCATATAACACACTTCATGTCATACACATGTATATATGCACGTATATGTCAAGTTCTACCAGTCAGAGACCTTATGAGGTCGTACCACGAAATATTATCCAAAAATTATTGTTTTACGAAATTCTTTGTTTTCACTTTATAACTACATCAAGTAATTTAATTACTAATCGACTACAGTAAAACTTGAGCTTCGTTAATAGATAATCAGATATAGAGAAATATAAATGAATATTGATGACCAGTTACGACTAATCAGTTACAATTAATTCTGTGACGCAGCAGCTTGCCTTACTACAAATTTTAAGTAAACGATTTTAAAATCTGATGTGTACTATAATAATACTAGGCCTAGATATCAATAGACGACCAGTTCCAATATCTAAGTAGAATGAATTAAAGAACTATTGTAAACTATGTTGACACTATTTGTCAAAACTACACTACACTCATCTACATTTATAATATTAAATTGACACCAATTATTATTATATAAAAAAATCTACGTAGTTGTTTAAAAAGACATCGAGAATTCAAAATATCATGATCTAGTAATACTAATATAAATCGATTATAATCATTGTTTATTGTACCTATGACTAGCAGGCTGGCCCTGCTTTGCACAATATTAGTCTTCCAATTATAGTTAAAGACATACATCTACAAAGATTTGATTGACGAATATAATTTGGACGACAAAAAACGGTCCACACTAGCATCTAACAGATGCCACTTTCCAACATTCCTAATAAATCTTTCAAAATTTTCCCTTCAAAAGCACCTTCTGATAATAACAATCACACCAAAATGGCGGCAACTACCTACAAGTACTCCACCCAGTTATCACATGACATTAACATTGTATAAATGTCACCGCCCCAGCACCAAAGTCGTTTACTCAGTCAGTATCAGTACAAACCCTTAGAATCTAACATGTATATGAAAAAGTAGTCAGATTTTTAAAATTCGTTAGGCAAGCTCCTTTAAAACTGGGTGTACCATGATGGTACATAGCCATACGACGTCGAAGGCCCCGCAGCTGCGTCACAGAAAGACTGGTTCTATAAGGGCATTTGGTACTGTTGGGGCGGGGGTCGCAGTTCAAAGATGGCGGCCACGGCAAGATGATCAGACCCGTAAACTTGGTTAGGCAGACGGCCCAGTACCGAACAGTCGATATCGTTGGGCAATCGCAAACGCTTAATCAAGTTCAAGCAACTGTAACGGCTGAAAACAAATATTAAAAATTACTATTTAGTTAATGTGATTGTTACACGTTTTAAAATTTCAAAGTAGCTAAAGTTCGCCTGTGTTTGTTTGTGGTTGTGTGTTTGTGTGAGATTGTGCGCGTTTTTGTGTGTTTGTGTGTGTGTGTGTGTGTGTGTGTGTGTGTGTTCGTGTGTGTGTGTGAGGGTGTGTGTGTGTTACAAGTGTGGCTCAAACCATAGTAATCTTACCTGAAATAGATATAATCGACATTGACCCAATAGTCCTGGAACGTAGTGACTCCAAGTCTCCCATTCACGATGTAAGGATCGTATACAGAGCATAGATTAAGGGAGTGCCCAATGATGCCAGTGTTGAACATTCCGCTGTACTGTTCGACGGGAAGCGGTGGGTGCTCACACGAATTGCCATAGAAGGAGTAAATCGAGTTGAAAATCTAGAAAATGCATGTTAATTTTAGTACAAATTTCTCTATTTTACGCAAAATACTGTTTTATTAAGTAGATAGCAATGTAGACATTATTGCTGCCAATAGAACGAGGAAGTTATATTAAAATTTGATTAACATGTTAAACAAATAAAAGGGTATTTCAAACCGAAATTAGTTTCAAACTATAGTTCGTTTATAAACAAAAAGAGGATAACAGTAAAACAAAAGTATGCGTGGACTTGAGAGATTTACAACTTACTTGGGTTTGATTGAAATTAGTGAACCGTCTAATCTGTCTGTCCAAAATAACAGACAGATGCTGGCAATTATCCGTCACGGCTATGCGTCGCCAATCGGAACCATCGCGGAATTGGCCCACGCTGTGGAAAGACAACCCATTAATATACTTCCCAAAACAGGCCACCTCTGGACTAAATAATGAGTCTCGTCTATATATAAGAGACGGTAATAAGCTCATCGTCAATTAATTAAAAAAGTTAGTTTATTTTTGTAATATCTATCGTGAAACATACTGAGTAAACTAAACAATATGACGGCGAGTAGGCCGCGCACGCACCTCATAAGGAAGAGTCCCTCTATCACTCGAAATTAATAGAGCTTTTCTCAGTATATTTACGTGAGTAACTTGTCATTTTTAGATACGTAAGGTTAAATTTCTCAAAGCGCTGCAATACAGGCACAATTCCAGACTCTGTACTATTGCAGAGAATACTGTAGTTGTGATGTGAGGTAGTCAAATTGAAATGTCAAAAACTATACTTTTCTATGAATTGTGTATTGGATCGCAACTTATGACGTCAACATATTTCTGCGTCAAAAAGCATAATTATTTCCTTAAAATTTGCGAGAAAAAAATCAATGGATGTGAGTATAATTATTTTTTAATTATTTATTGCATTGAAAATTTGAAACAATTTATTTTAAACCTGGGAAACTACCCAATTTTAGAATAGACCAGCCCAGGGATCGAGGTTCAGAATCATGTTTCATTTTTAGAGCTGTAATAATATTATGGTTTAAATTCATGGTGACGTACCTTACGCGGCCTCTGTCCAATAGCTTTACTACTGGACTATCGGGGGTGGAATTAAAGTCACCTGTCAGTATAATGGGTAGGTGGCCACATCTGGAAACAAAATCAAAACACACAACATTAAATATGTACGAGTTTATTTACTTATATTACTAATCCCATTAAATAGAAGTGAGTGGTTTCATAAAGTAAGAAATCCTTTAACTTCTCATTACCAGCGGTCACAACATGGCCACCTGAACAAAAACTTTCTTCAATTGCAAACAGGTCATGGTTTAGACGATCCTGCTATGCCTCTTAAGCATTGGTCTTACTTTAAAGACATATTAATCCTTACTTAAGTGAGTTTGTTTGTTTATTTGTTTGTTCCGACTTCACGCCGTAACTACTAAACCGATTGCATTGAATTTTTGCAGACGTAAAGTTAGTAGTCTGGATTAAATAATAGGGTACTTTTTATCCCGAAAAAATTTGATATTCCCGAGTGAAAACAAAAGTATTGGTATAGATGGCGCTGTATGTATTGGTATATGTCACATAGGCTACTTTTTATCTTTTTGTGATGCGAGCTAAGCTGCGGGTAGAAGCTAGTGTCCAATAAGTTCAAAACAGTTATAAACTTACTCTCGGCCGTTGTTAAAGTAAGCAAAGCGATCAATTTCGGCCAAAAATAATTTCATCTGCGCGATGCGGACATCAGTTCTCTTAGGGTTGTAAAGCAGGTGGGTGGTGGCGACCACGATGGGCGTGCATGGACGATCATGTGGCAATAATTTTACCATCACTCCGATGTTATCCCTGTTCAAGATCGGTAATTCCGGTTGGAAAAATTCTACCTGCGAAAGATGAAAAAAGGGGGATGAATTATTATTATTATTAAAAATTATTGACATCGCTTGCCAGATTACCTTTATGTTCTATACCATTATGTGATTATGTTGCAGAATAAAGGCTTCTTAAGATGTAAATGTAAATTATGCAGTAATTTCCTAAAGGCTCTAGATAGTCGCACCGCATTTCAACTAGTCCGTCCGTTTAGAGCCTAACTGTTATTACATAAAATCATTTTACACTGAGTCTTTTGTCTGTTATAATAAATATTTATTATGAAATAAATGACTGCCTCTTATTTCGAGTGGTCGCAAGGGGCATCGGGTTCGATTCCCGGATCGAGCAAAGTATTACTGTTTTTTTTATAAATCATCAGTAGTTGCACGGAGTCCGGAATTATGGCCGGTATATGGCAATAGGCTCACCCCCTATTACATGGGACTCATAACATAAATAGTGAAAAGTGGGTGTTACATTATACAGTAGCATAATGTATACCTCTGTCAAGCTCTTCGGGGATAAAAGGCGTGATGTTATGTCTTTTGTCTGGGAATAAACTCGCCTCTATTACTTAGGACTCATATGGCGCGGCGCCGCCCATGGACAACCGGAAAACAAGAAGAGTTACAAGTGCGTTGTCAGCACTTTGGGGGTTAGAGATTTGAGGATTTGGGGACATTGGGAAAAGGAGGAATTGGGCGTGCAGTGACGTCATTCACACGGCGAAACAACGCCCGCATTCATACGGGTTTTCTGTGAAGCTGTTATTACGAAAGTCGAGTCAGTACATTCAAATCAAAGCATCGCTCTCCCACACTTAAAACTTTTCCTACATTTTATCTACACTCTAGTAAATTATATTATTATTAGTAGCAGTTACGTAGGCGGTTATGTAAACCAATTACAAAGGTATACTTCATACTATAAACTTGCTTTAACAATCCTAACTAATGGTATGTTCGTCATAAAAAATAGGTATTAACAAATTTTATCACAACTGCAGTTTTTTGTAATTAAGAACAAGAAAGTCGTAATATTAAAAACAATTGTGGAGAACGTAACGAACACCTGATGGCAAGGTATAGCCACCACTCATTGGCAACTCTAGAAAAGTTATAAATGTGTTGCCAGCCGTTCGATACAGTAAGATGCTAAAGAAAGACAAACTTACTACCTATCGTATCAATACTGAGGATAGGTCTTAATAAAGAATCTATTCTATCCTAGATAATAACTCATATTATTGATTAGATATAGTATTATATAGGTAGGCGACGCATGTATCAGTTAACAGAGTAGGAGACAGATAGCCCTAGCGTCGCATAATATATATCTGGAGATAAAGATTTCATTCATATTTTATATCCTATTTCGCATGCCCATTAGATACAACGATAAAAATCTATTTCTTTGATAATGTTAATGCGTCACAGTAAAACTAAGTGTTAATGGTGGATGGATATGCCAACGGATATTTCTTTTTTCAATCAGTATGCTTTCAAAGCTAAAACATTTTCTTTTCAGCCTAAACCTATAATATTTATTAAAAAATTAGGCCCTTAAAAATTATTTCAGGGTACAAATCATATATTTTTAATTAAGTGTGGGAGAGCCATGCGAATTCGCCGGCTCTACCGGAACCTGATACCACGGCCTCACAGAAAACCGACGTGAAATAACACATCCTCCTCCCGAATCCCCAACAATCCTTAAATTCCTGTTCCCCAAAAGGCCTGTTACGCACTTATAACACCTTTGGTGTTTCAAGTGCTTGCTTGCCATCATCTGTCTGCTCGTTTACCGGCTTATTCCAGTAAAAAAAACTTCATCTGTTTGAATCCAAATAACGATTTCTTATGTACCTATTAATGATAATCGTGGGTGTTATCAGGCGAAACCTTGTATTTCAAATGATTCCCAACCTTGAGACGGATTGTAATGTCCTATTGTTAAGTTCCCGGCTTCGAAAATTTTGGAGGAAAACTAACAAGGAAAATTTGTGCCTGGCGACAGAAAATATTTGTCGTACGAACTTGAACTGTGACACGATTTTTGGAACAATGTCGGTTGTGACTGGGTGAGCCTTTGTTATACAAACGCAGATAACATCAGACAACACAGTAGGTACCGTAGCTTTTGTGTCATAAATAGCCGTGTCAATTTTCAAAAAGTTTTTGTATACACAGAACTGATACAACATCATGCCGTTTAACAACTGTAGGGGTATGCAGAGGTGTACTTTACGCCAGTTAAGAATTCCATTACCATTGAAAACACTATAAATATGAAACATTACAGACAAAATGAATACAATAATAATGCATACACTCGCAGTTTTATAACTAGCAGGCCTAGCAGCTAACATTTATGTCAAAATAGTAAGAATGTGAATCGCAGAGCATATAATTACATAATGTTAATAATTTATGCACTTACATAATTATATACCAAACATATTACAGAGGACTAAAATTATTGAAATGAATACTGCTTCTATTACTACGCATAGCTCAAATACCGCGCTTAGGAAGCCGTTCAGCATCATTATGGTAGTTCGTATAAAAACACAGGTACGAAATGGTTTACTAAAACTTTAATATCAATGTAAAGGTTAAAAATTATATGTATTTTTTCAACTTACGTGCACATGATCCGTTAATTGGAACATGGATGTTTTAAAGTAGATTGCACACCCGTCCTGACGATGGCCCGTCTTTTGCTTTATTACGCCAAAATAACCGATCTTTTCAAATTTAGAGTAAAAGCTTTCCAAGTGTGATACTTGGACCTCTTGTAAACATATAACCTAGAAGAAAAAAGGATATAGACCACGTTAAATCACGCAAAGTCACCAAAACATAGGTGACTTAGTTTAGTTATACGGATATAATCAACTTACATCTGGAGCCATCCGAGTGATTTCGTCATAAAGGCGGGCGGCTCGGATCTTCCACTTGAGGTCGCGAGGCGAGCAGTCCGTATACAAATAAGGATGGGACTCCAATAAATACTGAGCCAAAACGTTGTACGATAGAATTTTGAATGTAAAAGTCGCCCCTGTTGACAACAATACCAGTCATTAAAGGTACATCTATATATTTAATACTAGAATAGTGTTTATAACTTGTTCTTTTGGTTAAGGAACTTAAACAATATTATATTATATCGAAGTATGTTATTGCTATTCAGTTAAGTAGTTGGAAAAGGCCTGGAGCAAAAATAGAATTTCCAAAAAGTGACTGGCGCTTGTTTGTATCTACATTGACTTCGAACTTTCATTTTAAATGCTAAATGTGAAACTGTTGTTATTGTATTCTAATCAGAGGAAATACATAAAATGGTAAATAAGTGAAATAAATAAATACCGTATCTAGGATCGTGCCCTTCTCCTAAAACCTCCCACACCCTGAAGTCCGGTGGAATATTGTGTGTCCGGCCATCGCCCGTGTATCCCGCCTCCCTCGTGTACTGCCACCAATCGTCATCGGTTTCCGCAGAACTAAAATACATAATTATTTTGATCTATAGCAGAAATACATTTTAAACTGACTGTTACCACCAAGACCGCTTCACCAGCAAAGAGACAAAATAGTGTATCACTCCACAGCCTCCTGTATCTCCAGAGAAATAATCATACCTACCATAAAATCCCTTCGTTGCGACGTGAAATAAATAAAAAACACAATTTTGTTTATAATATTAGGAAGGATATTTTATGAAATATATAAATAATTTAGGCCTTACACTTCGAAGTCACCCCCACAGCTGGCGTGCTGCCGTGACGGCTTCGTTGGATGACTCATCGCTCTAACTTCGCGAGTTTCATTAGAGGCCAAAGGCGGAATTTTAATCTTCAGCCGTTTCTTCCCGTGGCCGTGTTGTCGCAACTGTTGGGTCGAATGGAACTGTGCAGTTACTTTTATGCTCACACATTCGGTACCACATGGCTTCCACTTACTAGTTAAATGTGAGATATTCCTCACATGAGCCTTGTGAACCTTGTCACATTTAAAAACTAAATATCTGCAAACACTATTTGTCAATTTCAGCATAGCTTTCTACGTATGTGTATTACATATTACATTTATATAAATCATATTTATATTTTCAAACTAGCCTAGCTACTACAAGTTGTATAAGAGCATTCTGTACGTGTACATGCATTACTAATATCCTCGGTATATGCTATTGTTATGCTTAATTTATTGGAGACATGGAATTTGCTCTGTTGTTAGTTTTGCATCCTGAAACAAAATCATTTTTATGTTGAAATATTTAATTATTTTAATTTTTCCCCCAAATTCAGCTAGATGATGTTGCTAATAATATCACATAACAATGTGGGCATGTAGCTGTGTGACATGCTTAATATAATGCAATGAAGTATTTGATGTGTGCATACACCCAAAAGCAATGTCTCATTCTATTTTGTTTCATGTATTAAGCTCACTCACTCGTCTAATACTAATCTTGTTATTAAATTTCAGACATTATTATTTTAAATACTGTTACCGAAGCAAACTGTCTAACTATGATCTAGGTAACTTGTGTTTGTATTAAACCAGTTTACTCTATTATTGTAATCTATAAGCTCTAGTTTTATTAGTGGAAAGCATTAATTGCAAGGCTTGACTTATTCCCAAGCTTGAAAAAGTATTCAAATTGGAGATTTACAATATGGAGCTTAACAGTATGGTACTCCTGCATTATTTCTCAGTTTGAGACAATGAGAACCTTATTGTCTTACTTATAAAATTCAATCCTAGCCTTGTTTTATTACTCGGGTAGGCAGAGTTATGTTCACTATAAACTCAGTTTTCCGCTGTCTTACATTTTGATGTCCAATTGAATGAATAAAGTGCAAAGTATTTAAAAAACCCAATAAAAGGCTTAAATGAATTACTAGGTGCCTGTACCTATAAAGTTTCAGGATTTTAAAGTTTTTGTTACACTCTTACTTTATTTTACTTTAACTCGTCGAGTACCGTATTTATAGACACAATTAAAGAACAATAGGTTGCGGTCACCGGTGACCGCTTGGTGTTTGACAGTTTAAAAGCAAAACTTATATTTAATTTTCTTTATACACCTATCAGCCAATTTATTCTTTTATGTAATGTAGATACTTAATAGGAAAATATTATTAAACCTGAAAAGATTGGGCGATGAGTTTAAAATCAATATACTTTTCCATTTTATCACCATCTTTTTAAAAACAATCGGTATTAAATCAGCATCAGTTACTAAAATAGGAAAGGCTTGATAATTAAAGTAAGGAACCTCATTAATATTGGCAATACAAAATACCTAAAAACGAACAAGAGTAACGTAGGTCAGGAAGATGGCGGGACCGCGCACCAACACCAATCGAAATGGCGTTATCGCGTCACCATGTTATTTCGCAATAAATCACTACACACTCACTTAGCACACTAATTCGAAAATCAGTTAAAATTATATCATCACGAATACTGATTACAGTACTAATTAATACTGTACTGATTCAATAATCTGATTGACTAGTTATGCATTAGGTATGCGCGAATGCAATGTGCTGTAGTATCGGTGCGCCAATCGATTTTTTAGACACAGCGTGTCTCGTAATGGCGCCCATCGAAATCTCCATATCACCCAAGAATAACATAAATTATTAATTTTACTGCCCGAAATTTTATCTTCATTGCAATTTTTGACTTTTTAAAATTATGGGAGGCTTTTTTAACACCTTGAGACATTTAATAATTCAACTGCATTATCAGATGTATACAAATAAATAATTAGATACATAATATTTTATTATGCATAAATATAGATACATAATAATAATAATTAACTTTTGCCTGTTTTTTGTTTGCCATTCAGTTATACTTAGCTTGATCAGTCTATGCTGATTTTAATTACAATTTATACTAATTCAGTTATATATTTTTGCAATATCATGTACCTACCCATAAAAATGATGTTCTGCTAAACAATGCAGATTTAAGCCTATATTATATTATATTCATTTGTTACCTATTTCTTAGTAAATTGAAAGTTTCTTTTCTTTCTTGTGCAGTTTTACTGCTTTTTACCTGACCGTAACAATAGAAAATTTCGATAATACTTTAACAGTGGGATTAAACCGAGGACCTACTGAACTACAACAACATTGCGCTCATTCATAACCAAGCAGATGCAATTAAAAACTTCTACAACAAATTAAATATCACATGAAATATCTATTCTTGTACATAGAGATTTACAACTGCGAGTTGATGTGTGAGTGAGGTGACTGGAGGCCCAATAAAACCCCAATTCCCCACAATCCTTAAATTCCTAATACCCAAAAGGCCGGTAACACACTTGTGTTTCAGATGTATATAGGTGTTGTCAATTGCTTATCATCAGGTCATCCGTCTGAGGTCTTAGTACAAAATTGATTTCCGTTTAAAGTAATCGAAACGCATACACATTCGGCACTGTGATTGGCCGGCTCCAATGAACTAACCGATCGGAGCACCGAAAGTAGTCTCGTTTCGAGTACTTTAAACGTAAAACAAATTCATACTAAGGACTCTGCTCATTTACCAGCTTATGACATAAAAAATGTTGTAAATTCTTATGCACAGAATGACAATATTTGCGATTGATGTAACATTGATACATAGGACATTACATTTCTCCTACACGCACCTCCATTAAGACAATGGCATAATAGATAAAAATTCTTTAGCTATTATGCTGTTGCCTTACCTTATATTCATGGTGTGAACTGATTTGTTTAACATTTTCAAGAGATTTCCCCGATAACATAGCACCGCTAAACATGCCTATCTATTACAATCATGCCTTACAAGCCTACTGTAACTATGAATGACTATTTCACAAACCTACCACACAATTGCCTATGAGCATCCAATGCAGATAAGAATATTATAAACGACAGCCTAACAGCGGTACAATAAAACTTCTATGCATTACAAAAAAAAAACAAAAGCTATCTCTGGCGAAATATATATTAGCTTTTTGTGGGTAAGATAAGACATTGCTTTAAATGAATAAACATAAACTCTATAAAATTGGTACTTGGAGCCCTTCATTGAGGAATAAACAAAAATGGCCACCCCAAATGAAAGCCTAGCAAATGTTTATTATTTTACTAACGACGCATTTAACGATTATATAACTTTATTTCGCCAAATACAACACAAAAACAAATCATTAGAAATGCGACAAACATAGCAACAACGGCAACATATTTTGACTTAGCCAGAACAATTTTAATGTGAACAAAATTAACTTACATGCATACAAACAGAACCATAGCATATAGCATATAATGGCAAAGAGCAAAAACCATGACGGACATCTAAAATCTACAGCAAAAATACATTTTTACTGACCCGTCGACCTTTCGTATCGTGTCTCAGTCTCCCATCTGTCAATGATGGCTGACAAGAAAATCAATAAAATTAGGGTGGTGCCGGAGTTACTATTTACTTGTCAGTTGACGTGCTAAGGCATCTCTATATACAGCCAACGTGATGTGCATATTTTTTTAATTTTATACCAATTACTTTATTTTTCGTTGTTAGTACATAAATCTTATTATTTATTAGGTGTATATATAGTTTTTGACCTAAATATTAAAGTTTCCCAATGACTCTAAATGATAGGGGCTACGGTTTAGTTCTCACCAGATGGCGCAAGTGTTGGATGAGATTCTTTGTCCAATCTCTGCAGCTGTCAAATATTGAACGTCCAATGATGTGACACTAGCTTATTCCCTATAGGACGAAGAATGAGGTTCACACTAGCGCCCTTTGGTGAGCAAAAATACAAGATTACCCATTATATAAAAATGGGGAATTAAAGCTTGGTATTAGTCCCAATAAAAGTTAGTTGTAGCAAAACGTAGTATGTTGTAGAATATATCGCAACCAAAAGGGCGTCGCGTGGCGTAAGCCATTAAGATATGTTGAGTAAGATAGACATAATTATCTTAACGGCTCTTTCTCTCGTAACCCCGGAGACCGCGGCGCTCGCGTCGTCAGTCTGCTGCTTACGCGCCCACTATGCATACATGTGTAATATTAAGTTCTATCCGCAGTACTATACCCATAATTGTAACCTTGTGTCTATTCAGTAATTTCAGTGGTTGCTATTTCTTGAAATACAATTATTAACCAAACACTACTTGACTAATTTAGTAATTTCCAATCCTGAAAATCTCCTCCCATATACATAGTTTAATTGACTGTGACTTACGAGTATTTTTTGAAATACAAATGGTACTGCAATGAAAAGAAAGTTACTTTTCAAAAACACTTTTATTTCTAAAATTATATTTCATTAGAACATTTTAGGCGTGATTTCTGGATCAGGGTCTGGATAGTATTGAAGTAAATCAGCCACAGGAGCCTCTTGGTCTTCATAAAAATCACAAGCTAAGAGATACTCTCGCTTTGAATAATCATCTCCTTTACAGAATATTTCACCTGGAAACATAAGGAATAACTTGTAGATTTCAAATTCAGTTTACGATCGTAATCACAACACTAACTTAAGGTATAAAAATTACCTTCGATATCCATAATATGCACGGCGCTTTTTGCTTCTAGTGCACCGACACAGTAGTGTTCTTCTGTTAAATCTGGGTGCCAGTACATAATAGCGTCTCTACAAGAATCACCTGCGATAGGTAGTAATATTCTGTCCTGTTGAAACATAAACTTGTTTTATTAAATTATCTGTTACCGTTCCTTTTTCACTCAATGGGGAATTACCTGGTACTACACCTTTAGACTTGGACAATGCATTATTTGACAGCTGCTGTGATTGAAAAAAGCTTTACCTATTTGAGCTTTACCCACCTGATGAGTAAACAAACGTTATCGCCATTACATAATATATCTGAATTGCTATTCTCTCGCGGTTTCACCCGCTTCTCGCTCCTTTGACCATAGCGGGACATTTTGTAACCAATGTAAACGAATTATTCAAATTGAGTTAGTAGTTTCGGAGATTAGCGCGTTCAATCAAACGATCTCTTATATAATAAAAAGAGTAGATCAGATACACTACCTTACAAATAATTTTATTGTTGACGATTGGCTCCTTTACTTCACCAGTACAAAAGAACTTTCGTTTTTTCCTCATGATTAAAGTACTAACTTCCAAAACTGTTTTGATACTGTTTCCTACAATAATATATATACAACGGATGATGATTAAACTTCGTAAAAATAAGAAAGACACTCGATACTATATTACCAAATGTTATTTTTCAAAGGCCAGGTTCATTATTAATGTCGCTAAAGCTGTTTGCAACTTAACCGGACCATTAGTCCCATCAACACTTGCCTTACCAGGCCCATTGATAGAGGTTGACAAATAGTGACTACAAACCGGTGAGACAACAAATAGAATCATTATTTACCTTTTTCGCCATTAATTGCTTCAAGTTCTCGCATACCACGTGCCTGTGTTTCTCTGCTGTTTTGTTGTTTCATATAATTGGCTAACCTACCCATAGCCTCCACAAATTCATCAATAGGGCCTAAAATTGAAAAACCATTAATAATGCCGGTTAATATTCTCTAAACTATTTTGATATATGTATAAGACAATACCTGTTCCAAAACTGGACCCGTCCAAGTAGTTTAGAAATTGATAAAATCTTAATGCTTCATCAGATTCAATTTCATCCATCACAGGTCTCTGAAAAGTAAAATATGGTTTTGTATTTTTTCAATAAAAAGTATTTAATATGTTTATAAAATGGATTTCAAACATACAAATTTTCCGCTCCAAGCTCCGACATCGGAATAAAGAGAATTAACTCTGCTCGGCATCCAATCTAGAGATGACCGGGCCACCAAAACGGGGTGCTGAAAAAAATATGAACGTTGTTAAAACAGTAAAAACATCAAAGTTAATAAAAGGCAAAATAAATTACCAGTGAAGCCAGTTTAGAGTTTGCATCTTTTAAACAAAATAATGAAATTAATAACAATAGCTGAAGAGCTGTCATTTTCGAAAGCTACCCTCTACAACACTGAAGTAGGTAGCACAGTAAAATATAAACGAGAACCTAGAACGTCTAATTAAATTCGTATGTACCTGTATTTTAACAATGTAGGTAAGTATATCGTTAGGTTTATTGTTTCTGTTGTTTCGATAAGAAAAAATAATAACTGTTGTTGTTTATTACCAATTTTATTCTTTACATTCATTTCGCATAAATTGAAACTTTCTTCTTTTTCAATATGATGTTGTCATCATTATCCATATCATAATGTTAGTAGACACGAGCACAAGTATCACAACTCGTACATTTTTTATTGCTGACCATGAACTTACGAAAAAACTTAAACATCGAGTTGAACAGTGACCCATTAATGAAATCTAATTTTTTATAACGTTACAACACAAGTCCAAATCTCGTTGTATACTTTATAAAATTAGGATTTTAAAAAGTTCATTATTCTGAAGTTACGTAACAACGTTAAGTACATGAAGTCAAAACTTGACCCTCGCATCATTAAGAGTTTTAGATTGATGTGCTATATGATATGATGAATTCATGTGACCTGATAACAAAATAATCTCAAGCGTTATTGGCATTATGTGGTGAGCCTCAGTGTAATGTAGTGACCTGCATGATGCATGGGTACAAATGAGAATCCTTCGATTTTATAGCAATAAATACATATTTATGAATTAGTATGAATCTCTGAAAGGAACCAGAAATAAAAATATAAATAAAGTAAATAACCTAAATATAATAATAAAAACATAAGTTTATAAAGTCGACCAAATTATGTACTGACTCTACTATTGCCTCTAGTCATAGACAAAGTACGTGGTCTATTCTCTACCTTTAGTTCTATGACTGACATTGATAGTTGACAGCATAATTTTCGCGCCATTCTGTCGGTCGTGTCAAGTGTCAACTCAAGTCAACTATCTCTCAACTACGACACGAACGGTCGGCAGGATAAAATTATAAATTAAACTTTGTTTTCGTCTTGGAGAGAATGCTATAAATTAATTTAACAAAATGCACGTGAGAATACGTATATTCGGTAAACCAGATACAGTTGTAGTTGTAGAATCTAAGTTAACAAAGATAGATCAGTTTCGGCGAATTGTGAAAGAGAAGTTTGATGTTGCACCGAAATTACAAAGATTATTCTATGGCGGTAAACTGGTAAGTAATGTTTAATTCATACCTTGACTCTCTTTACCTTTTTCTATTGTACCGAATTTCTTACAGTTGTATCTCATAGAATTCGTATTTATTCACGTGAGTTATTGCATGTGACGTCACAGCACATTGCGACCGTTAAAAATGGCGCCATTTTTATGGCAATATTACTGATAACGTTGAAAACATAATGTTTATACCGCATATATTCAAAACTTGTGCCATTCATACCACACAAAACAAATAAAGGTTTCTAGGCTTTTTATTAAAAAGTATGTGTTCCTGGTTTTCAAGAACAGATATGCTTAGATTAGTTATTAAAGCATTGTTTAGACTAACTGGATCTAATTTTATTTAAATACCCACCAAATATACTTTTTAGGGAAGTTGCAGTAAAACAATGATTACAAAAGACTAATTCTTTTCCTGTTTTTGTGACTGTTTTAATGTCCTAAACTAGTTTAGGACATTAAAATCTCTTGCACTAGTGCAAGAGATCAGTTTACATAGCTTTTGCCATATGCTGAACGCACACAACAATCAGATAATATGTCCTTTTATGTACTCTCTTTAAAAGGATTAAATTGGACTTGATGTATATCTTCCGGTGCCATTTTAACTAATACAGATATTCATTGTGTGATCTGTCAATCAATTTAGCATGAACCATTTATGGTTGTTGAATGTTTCAATGGCCTATCTATCATCATCATTTTACTTGTAACAATTTTTGAGTTCTAAATAGTTATACACCTGTTAGATGTCTTGTAATGAGATAAAATACACCTTCAATTCCACTAAGACTCTTGTTAAGAATTCTAACTAAAGTCTGATGGTGATCTTTTAACAACAAAAGTAATGTATGGATGACAATCCTAATAACTCAGCATTGTACAGTCAAGTAAATTGGTTTTTAGATACTGACACTTAAATTTCTGTTACAATATTTATAATAGTTATAAGATACTTTGAACAAAGTAATATTACTACCACCTTAAGAAAGAAGGCCATCATTTTAAGTAAATTATAATTTTGCAACTTCATGTTACAAATTTTCCGTTTTATTTTATTTTCTACATCTAAGTCAAGTCAAAGTCAAAAGTCAAAGTCAAAATCATTTATTTCAATTAGGCCAGAATGGCACTTTTGAACGTCAACAAAAACAAAAATTTAAAGTGAAGCTATTTGCTCATTCCAAGGCGTAGATTCCTATGGAGAAGAACGAGCAAGAAACTCCATAGGTTACTCTAGACTTATTTGCTTCCTTACATCCTCCAATGACTATGCCAATTTCACTTTCAACCATCCAGTACTTTCATCTGTGCATTGTCTGTCAGCTTATAACAGAATTATTTAAATCTTGATTCTAGCTGGAAAATGGCTACACATTCCACGACTATAACATCAAGCTTAACGATGTTATTCAACTCATGGTGCGGGCGCAGCCTGAGGACAACCCTAAGAAGAAGACTGACACTAAGACTGACACGACCAATGTTTCCAATGGGGACATGGTTGAGTACAAAGGTCAGTAGCTGTAGTTCATAAACAAGTGTGTATAAAAGTTCACAGGGAGAATGTTCAAAGGGATGATTCGTGAAATGTTGCATATTTTTGGGCAAATGTTGAATATTCTTAGTTTTTACATTTTCTTACTAACAATATGTAGTGAAATGTCATTTTAATGAATCTAGTCTAATATGTATAAGAAATAATATATAAATTACCCAATTTACACTTCAACAGATGCAGTAAGTACATTATATGAAGTCGGTGACCTAATAGATATGAAAGATCGTACGTCTGGAGCCTGGTTAGAAGGGAAAATAATTAGAATAGTGTATGATCCTGACATTCCTCACATACCGGATGATAAAGACTTATCAATCGATGACACAAGTGTCCTAGGTCATTCTGAGAACAGTGACCAGAGTTTAGACAGGGAAAATGATGTTGAGAACAAACCACCTAGTGAATCAACCAATGGCGACAGTTTGCCAAAGGCTAAAAGTAAAGGCATAACTAAATATTTCAGTAGAACCCCCAAAATTGCATGGAAAAAGCAAAATGAATTAAATCAAAGTTTCAAGTGCAAAGACATTGATTCAATGCTGCTCTATAAAGTGCAACTGGAGTCTGAGTAAGTATTTACATATCTGTTTTTTAAAGCATCTTTGGTATGCCAACTCTTAGCCTTCTTTCTTATCTGCAATCATTAGCAATCTAATGTATGAAAATGTATTGATGACTTTTGTATTCTTATAATTAAACAAAACAATAAGAACCACTTTGCAATGACATTAATCATTATTGTTTACAGTGATGATGATTCAAACTTATATTGTAAGTTAAAAGAAATTAGACCTAGAGCAAGAAATGAGGTAGACCCTAAAGATCTGAAAGTGGACCAGATAGTGATGTTGAACTACAACACTGACGACCCACATGAGGTAGGACATTGGTAAGTATACGTCAAGTATTTTTGCTGTTTATTTGTTTCACTGACTAACAAGTCATTCTGAATGTAATACTCTTTAATAAGAGTGTAGAAATATGGGAATACCAAATTACAAATGCTGGGTTTGGTGTAGTTAGAGCCGTGGTGGTGCTGGGATTGGGGCTAGAAGAGCAGGAGTAGGAATGAGGTGGCTTTTAGTCACAAAAAGTCTGACACTCCCACTCGCGCCACCCAAGGCGTAGAAGAAGAAATCATTAGGTGATTTTAAAAATATATCTAAGTTTATCTAAAACTAATTTATTATCACTAATTTGTTGTACATATATAAACAACAGTGTTCAATCAACTTTATTTCTACAGGTATGATTACAAAATAACAGCGATAAAGAAATTTAGAGCAATTTATGAGTTGTTAGGAACTCTTTACTTGGGCCCTGATGCTGTGCCACAGAATGATACTAGGGTAAGAGTTCTTGACAAGATATTGGCTATTGAAGAGGTAGTGCCACTAGCTCAGAGGACAGAGGAGTACAAGAAAATGATGATTACTCCTTCAGAGAAAAGTAAGTAGTAGTGCTTAATCTAAATAAGTTAAATATGTATTTAAAAAGTAGTACAATTTTATATCAAGAAACACCTCTGTAATGTAATTGAAAAAAAGACGTTGTTTTACTTCATGTTGGTACAAATAACAATAATCCCAAATAACCCCTAAAGTATTGATAATCCTGAGGACACGGTGGAACACACCGTAGCGGAATGCCCTGCGTGGGCTGAGCACCGCCGTGCCCTCAGGGAAGTGATCGGCGATGGCGACCTCTCGCGTCCGGGCCTAGTGCAGGCCATGATGCGGAGCGAGGGGGACTGGGATGCCGTCTCCTCCTTTTGCGAAGCAGTCATGCTAGCTAAGGAGGAGGCGGGACGCGTGAGGCAGCGAAGCGCTGCCTCCTCGCGACCCAGCCATCGCGAAGGACACACCGGGCGTCGGGGATCGCGGGACGATCTCCGGCCACCGTAAGCGCGGGCCTGCGGACGGCGAGCATGGGTGGCTCCCCGTCCGACCAGAAACAGACCCGAGCGTACGGCGCGTCGCGTTCCGCGCGCGCCTCAAAGAGCCATCAGACCACCACAGATGGGGCCCAATAGGGCCGATGCCGATTCGGAGTCGCGGAGAACCTAACGGGTAACCGGGGCTCCGGCTCGACGTGCAGGAGAAGGAACGGGGTGGTTTTTAGTCAGTAAGAGTCTGACACTCCCTTCCGCCTCACCCAGGCGGGAGCAGTCATTCGATGATTTTCCCCCCTTAAAAAAAAAAAAAAAAAAAAAAAAGTATTGATAATATCTTCTTTCAGGGTCTGCGCCATTGAATTGCTTGACGTGTCGCGATGTTGAAGACGCTCTGTGCAAAGACTGCGGCTGTTATGTTTGCTCGGGGAAGAAGTTCCCAGAGAGAGTAAGTTGTTTTCTATTTTGATGGTTGCATTAATTATGCTTTACTGTTAACGTTACTGTTTATAAAAATTCTAGATCGAGTCTAGATTTGTTTATATAATTATTTTAATTTTAACCATTCATCCAATATTACAGATAGTGCTATGCGACGAATGTAATCATGGCTACCACATGACATGCCTGGACCCGCCTCTCACGGAGCTACCAGAAGAAGACTGGTACTGTCCATCCTGCAAGAGGGATCCCAATGACGTCATAGCTCCTGGAGCTGCTAAACAGACGAAAAAGACGACCAAAAGTAATCGCGACTGGGGCCGAGGAATGGCTTGTGTTGGTGAGTAAAATATATACTTCATAATGCATGCCTTATAAATATCAAGCAAATTCATTCTTTCACTAACTTATGTTGCGAGTGTTTGTGCCTATTATGCCTCAGGTAGAATCCAGTCTGAGATATTGCTAGTATATTAAAGTTTTGCCAGTAGCGCTTAAAACCACTTGATGTTATATCGGCAATGTTTAATTGTACACGATAACTAAAAACTACTAAACTCAATTTTATTATTTATGTGTGTAAATCGAAAGTCTTTGCTATGCAATAAATATCTGATAACGTAATACGTAAATGCCCCGACTATTATTTGATTAATATTACTTATCTAGTAGTACCTAAGTTATATTTATTGGGAAAAGAATTCGCGATTTCAAATAATAAACAATCCCACAGGTCTCGGTCTCGAGAATCCTGGGGTTCTAACGCATACTTCCCATTCTTGGGGATAAAAACTGTTATCAAAATCCTATTTAAGTGGATGTCTGCATCATAGTAGTTCCAATCTTTAATTTCAGTTCAATCAGTCGAAAATCTGAGAAGATTTATACTATAACTTTCATCCACTGTTTTAGCCCCTTGGGGATAGAATTGATCAAAATCCATTAGCGGATGCCTACCTCATAACATCTACCTGTAAGCTGAATTTTAGCTCGATTCATCTATCTCAGTCAGTTGCCTTTGAGTTATACATATTTAGATGTTAAATAGATGTATGTGTTACCTAACAAGCTGCAATGCCAATATTTGACCAACCTATTGTCTATACTTTTGCGAACGTGTGTACCACAGCAGTGTGCTAAATAACTACTAGTGTAAAATAAAAAGCGAAATGTCTACTGGAACAGCAATTAAATAGCGTGCGCTTGCGTTTTTTGCATTGCTAGCGAAAGTACGACTACTTCTATATTTGTATGTATAGTTAGGCGACTGCACGGTTTGCGCGGTGGATGTGCAACGGGGTGCCACGCAATGTGTCGCGGGTTCGATTCCTGCACGGAACAACATTGTGTGATCCACAAATTGTTTTTTTTTCAAGAAAAGGGGCAATTCCAAAGCTAAACATTGATATCACAATCCATTATTGGTATTTTAAAGATTATAAAAGACTCAAATGTTGCTCGTCGCGACGCGATGGGAAACCGTGTCCCCGTAGATGCTCGGCTATCTGACTTGCGACTATTTGACCAAAGGTCATGGCAGTTATCCTCGTTGTCTATCTGTCTAGTCTAGGCTAGTCTATTCTAATAGTTTGTATTTGTATTTTTTGTTTGTTTTTTTTTTCTTTTTGTTTATATGTTATGTTTGCTTGTTTGAATGCGCTAATTTCCAGAAGTACTGGTTCGAATTGAATAATTATGTGTTCGATAGTCCATTTATCGAGGTTGGCTATAGACTATAAAATATCACGCTACAATCACTAAGAGATGAGCAGCGGGTGTAACTGCGTTGAAACAGCTAGTAATAAACATTTGAGTGACGAACGTGACATAATTTACTGTTTTTTTTTAAGAAAATGCTACCTATATAACTCTTACTGTGCTAGCTGACTCGCACTTGCATTTATTTATTGTAATACTTCTCTCGTTCGTACTGATTTCTCGACTCGTATTGATTTCTGTGTTGTAAATATGAAAAGTAAAATATGGAGACAATACTAATTTCAGGTAAGACGAAAACCTGCGCAATGCCGCCCAATCATTTCGGACCAATCCCCGGCATCGAAGTTGGCATGTGCTGGAGATTTAGAATACAGGTAAATTTTGTATATTTGTCAATCTAAAACTTTGTGTATAAACATTTGAATTCCGAGAAATCGTCAGGTCGAAAATCACCAGGTTCTGTCGTGACTTTGCGCATGCGCATAGAATATCAGCAAAGAGTATTCATATAATAAATATAGGGAAAATATCAGTGCCATTGACGCGTATAGACGGGTTTCACATTCAGTATAATCATCCCATGAGTTGTGAGACGATGAGATACTACTTATTGTTTCGTTATCTTTTATCATCATCATCATCAGCCTGTATTCGTCCACTGCTGGACATAGGCCTATCCAATGGCACGCCACTGAGCTCGGTCTTCAGCTCTACACATCCAACTACTGCCAGCCTCCTTGCGGATGTCGTCACTCCGCCTAGCTGGAGGGCGCTCTACACTGCATTTGCCTAGACGCGGTCTCCACTTTCGAACAAGTTTACCCCAACGGTTATCGGTTCTTCGACAAATGTCACCGGCCCTCTTCCACTTCAGCTTACTGATCTATTGGGCTATGTCGATAACTTTGGTTCTCTGTTGAATCACTTCGTCATAATAATATAAGATGCATGTTTTTGGTTACAGCTATCAGAAACCGGTGTCCATCGGCCGCCTGTGTCGGGGATCCACGGCCGAGATGTAGAAGGCGCGTACAGCATTGTGTTATCTGGTAAGCAATATAGACAACTAGCTGACCCGGCGAACTTCGTACCGCGTAATACTCTAACTCTACCCTACTCTACCCTTATCTACCCTATTCTACTGTACCCTAATGAAAAATAGACTATCCTATCTCTCAAGTTGGATCGAACTGCACATGGTGTGCGAATTTTATTATAATCGGTTAAGTGGTTTAGGAGTCCATTGAGGACAAACATTGTGACACGAGATTTATATATATTAAGATAGCAACAAACTGTACAAACTAAAAAACTTAAGGTGAACCAGTAGTTATAATAGTTATAAATAATAACTAAATTATGTAATGCGTGACGTCTCTCCGATCGTGTCGGTCTCGTCCTATTGGAGAGTGAGGGAACGGAGTGCACCTTTGGTTGGCACTCATTATAGTGCACAGGCTCTAATCACTATAATATCTCCTGCGATTGTGCTAGTCTATTTGGCCAGATATGGTCTTATATACACGTTACTATACTTAACTTACATATTATGTAATATAATCTTCACCAAACATGTTTTTCCAGGTGGTTACGAAGATGATGTAGATCATGGCAACGAGTTCACGTATACAGGCAGTGGCGGACGAGACCTCTCCGGGAACAAACGCACTGCAGAACAGTCATGTGACCAGACTCTCACCAGAGAAAACAAGTAAATTGTTTTAACCTGTTGAAATTCATCCCCTAAATTTGTTCATACAAAAGTAGTATCTAAACATTGGAAATAAGGTCTATAATGTAGTTAGTGGAGAGTGGTCACCGGTGATCGCTTTGGGATGTATGGGTTAAATTTAAATAGTCTTCGAAAACACTAGCATTGTTCAAATTGGTAATTATTGAAACTAGTATTGTGGCAGATTCCAGTTTCCTAAGATTCAAATTACGTTGAGTACAAGAACCAAGTAAAATTGTTTTCTTTTTAATTCTTTCAGAGCGTTAGCCCGTAACTGCGCAGTGAACAATATAAGCGAGGAAGGCGGTGACGCAGGCGACAACTGGCGAAACGGCAAGCCGGTCCGTGTAGTGCGTTCCTACAAGATGTTGAAGCATTTCCCCAAGTACGCACCTAAGGAAGGTATCAGGTTAGTATGTCTTATCAGTGAATTTATTTAGAAGACAACCACTAGTTCTCACATTTATATACGCTTCTGTAATAATATAAATGTATAATAATAAGTGCGCAACATTTCGTAGTGTCACGGCATGCACAGTAACATTGTAATCAACACTTTGCATTATAAATAAATAATGTGTATAAAATGATTGTGGGAACCTAAGCTTATTACAATCCTTCTATTAGCAAAAGTTCCAGTACTAAACAGACAAGATACATAAAAGGTTTATTTCTAACTGGAAATGTTTGTTTCTAGATATGATGGCATATACAAGGTAGTGAAGTACTACCCAGAGAAAGGACTGTCAGGATTTATTGTTTGGAAGTACCTATTGAGACGAGACGATCCTAACCCTGCGCCTTGGGAACCAGGCGCGAAGGAGTACCCAATTATTGTAAGTGATTTTGGCTATTTATTACAGAAGTATTTTATTGGAGTTGAAATAAGACAATTAAATTGTTTCTTTTAAGTGATTTTGTCATAAAACTAAGTCCAAAACCTGAGTCGTGACTTTTCTTAGATATGTATTCTCTCTAAGCCTGTTCCACTAAAGTAAGGTGAAGGAAACGTTATAACTTATAACTAAATCACATATCACTAATTAACGATCGATGGTAATTCCCTTTCTGCTTGAAAAGACGGTCTTTGGTTCCATTACAGGCAGATATCAAAAGAACGAGGTAACTTGAAAGATCTGTCATCTATTATATTTTATCTTCCAACAGTATCCCGATGGGTATTTAGAAGCTGAAGCGGAGAAGAAAGCCCTAAAAGAAAAGAACAGTAAAGTAGGTAAAGGTGCTAAGAAAGGCAGTAAAAAGCGAGCGCTTAAAGAAAGCAATGATACCACCACGGAGTCAGGGGGTGATACCTCTCCACCCGTGACGAGACGGAAAAAAACAGGTGCTAAGATAGGCGGTAATAAGCGAGCGCTTAGAGAAAGCAATCAGACCACGGACACAGAGAGTGATGCCTCTCCACCTGTGAAGAAACGGAAAACCACTAAACAAGGTAAGTTGTCGACAGATAGTAGTAGTATATGGTAATGAGTAAATGATGACCCCAGTTTACTACCAAAGAATTACTCAATTCAAATACACGACATACTCACGTAAGCTATCGGAGATACTCTACTAGTTTCAACAAGTTACAAGTTACACTGGGACTCGTTTTACCCCCTCATAAATGCCTATTTTGGCAAAAAAGTTTATTTTTAAACACAAAGTAAAATTGACTACAACCTTATCCTTCTTATCTAACGCGTTCATATGTCATTGACACAGAATTAGGTTAAGTTTACACGTACTGCCATGTAAATAAATCAACTTGTAGAAGTTAGCAAGTATCACATTGTGTAGCCAACTCCAATATGATTTCATACAGTTCATTATTCGTTACTTGTGTTTTACAGTAATAGAAGCCAAAGACCCAAAAAGTCCAAAGACGTTTATAGCGAGTATATTCCTTAAGAGTCCTAACCGTAAGTCACCGCGGAAGAAAGATACCGAGAGCAAACTAACTGAGGAGGAAATGGCTGCCATCAAAGCAGATACGCTGAACGATAAACTTTGGAACGAGTGTCTCACTGTATGCGAGGTGCGGGGGAAAAAGGTTTGTGTATTAACTTTGTATTGCTCTCAATTTAGTCTGCTTTATTCTTAACTAACATCACGCGAGTGATAGGATGAGAAACACAAAAACAATGCTACAGAATCACCCGGTGGGGTGCTCTGTAGCACTTTAAGATCTATGTCAATAAAAAGGGGAGAGCCATGGTGCTCCACCGGAGTGAGATGCTTTATGCATACCACAACAAACACAGATGAATCGGGTAGAAAACCGTCGTGAAATAACCGGAGCATTATTTCACTGTTGCAAGTGAGGTTGCCAAAGGCCCAATTCGGCTTGCCCAATATCCCAATCCTCAAATCCAGCCCCCATCTGGCCAGCAACGCAGTTGTAACTCCTCTGGTGTTTCGGGCGGCGACGATTGCTTACTATCAGATGATCCATCTGCTTGTTTGACAGCCTATCCATAAAATAAAGAAGATAGTAGAATTAGTCAAAATTATATTAACGTGCATTATAGTTTTCTATAAGGTGGAACAGAAAAATACTTCATTGTAATACATATCTAATTTTAATTTGTTTTCTAGGAATTCGTGGAGTATGTCACGCAAATGTTCCTCTGCATTATTTGTCAAGAGGTAGCTGTGACTCCGGTGACGACACCCTGTTTACACAACTTCTGTTTGGTATGTTCCGTTTAAAGAAATTTATTTTCTCGAAAGAATATGTATTATTTAGTTCACTTAAATATAAGAAACCTTCCAAAAATACATATTATTTTATATATATAATACATTATATTGTTCGATTTGTCAAGTACAATATTGATATACTATCATTATTGTTGTTTAGATACCAATCTATTTTTAATTATCTATAAAATATGGTTATCTATCATGTGCTATATTAAATGATTATTAGAAAAAACACTGCCTCGTTGGACGATTAGTCGCAAGTGCGACTGCCAGGCATGGGGTCTCGGGTTCGATTCCAGGGTCGGGCATAGTATTAATTGGTTTAAAAAAATCTCAGTAGTAGAACAGAGTTTGGAATTGAGCCCGGTATATGGCAATAGGCTCACCCCCTAATACATGGGACTCATAACATAAATAGTGAAAAGTGGATATTACATGGTACAGTGGCATTATGTGCAACTCTGCCTACCCTTCGGGGATAAATGGCGTTATAATAGATAAAACATTGTTGGCAAGTTTTTATTGAAACTTGTTAATTCTATACATTTTTTTTAATTTTTTGTAATACATGTTTGTTATTAGTTGTTTATATTATAAAATTTTATTTTCAGGCATGTTTAAAGCAAGCTTTCAGAGCCAACGGTACTCAGTGCCCCTGCTGTCGACACAGCCTCATCAAGTACAACATCGAACCGAATGAGGAGTTGAAGACAGCTCTACGAAGTATATTGACCGGATACGACGCGGGCAAGAAATAAAATAATGGGGTAACAAGCTTTTCTATAAGATCTTGTTAACTTTGGGAAGCAACGGAATATATAGTAATTATATGTAGAAGTGGTCTGAAGTGTCTTATTGATAAATATTGATTTGCTCCCATTGTCTATGTATTTGGTTGATCTGATAACGCTATGCGCTACTAAATGATGTAAGAGTGTTCATAAATAGGGTAGTATCTTAATTTTTTTAATATCCGCCTGATACATTTTTTTAAAACATTAGACACGTATTTTTTCTTTTCTTACAAAATTAAATACTTTCGACGATATATTGATTTGAAATATCATGTGACGTCACAATTTACTATATTTTATAGGGTCGCGTGACGTGACGACCTCCCAAAACTTAACTTCGTTTTGTGTTTATTTATACGACAAAATAAACAAATATGTGTCTAATATTTTTTTCATATTTATCTGACGAACTAACTACATTTTTAATTTTTATACACTGTCTACTACCCTATTATGCGATTGTGTATAATAAATAGAGCAATGAGCAAGTTCATACATTTTGCTGCTAAGCGTAATATTATGCATTTGCGTTTGCTGGTAGTGTACTTACGTATTCTGCACTTTTATTATCTTTTCTGATTTGCACATTACGGTAGTTATGTGGATATAATAGGGTAAGTCCATTTGGAGAAGGCTTATAGGCTATAAGACATCACGCTTCGGCCAATAGGTGGCCAGTAGCGGCTGAAACTGCGCGAGAGTAGCTATACTAATACAAGTTTTAATTATTTTATTGATCACAGTCAGCAACCCGCTTCTGTCAAAATAACCGATGATTTGAGGTTAGGAATTGAGTGATGTGACTGTTAGCTAAACAGTGGTTACACAGCACCGAATTATCTAAAGCCAGTTAAAAAAATACTTGTTTAATTAAGTTCGTCATAGATTTAACAGAATTAGAAATATTTTTAATATTCCTACCTAGCTAAAATTGATCTGATGCAATTTTAATGTGAGATGAATTTCTAGATATTTGTTGATAGTGTTAAGTATCAGTTTAGACGAGAATTTGTAATTGGTTTGAAGTCCAATTAATAACTAAACTACTAATTAATTCGTACGAAAAGATTACTCTATGCAAGTTCTACCTCCAAAGTATTCTACGTGATTTACTCAAAATTGTAACTCCTGTGATTTGTAATTTTTAATGTGTACTTAGTTTAGAGTTTGACTACTTGCCTTATTATGGGTTTAGGATAATGTTATACTTGAAATTAAAAGTATAGTACAATCGCCAATTACCTAGCAAGGAAACAATTACGTTTTATAAACCAAAACTTTATTTCTTGTAGTCTTAATCCATATTCGAAGCTAAATCAAGATAAAACAAAGTAATTTCGTAGAAAAGTGCTTGAACTTAAGCACTAGGTGTTACAATATTGTAGGATCCCAACACAGTTCAGATATGCATATATATTGTAATATTATAATATACTATGTACCAATTATCTAATATGAAAAGTATGCATTGATTTTATCGTTATTGACTCCCAATGTATGATATAATATGTTGTTTATTATTATTACAATTATTTATGTTTTATTTTTGTTTATAAATAGTATTTATAAAGTTAACGTTGTCTTTTTTTGCACATTAAAGCTGACTTAATGACTTGGTTATCTCTAACAGGAACAATGAAATTTTAATTATAATTAACGACATTCGTAATAAACAAAATCTTGTGAAAGGAAACTATAATAAAGTCACATGTCTTATTGCACCCTGCCATATACCTGCTATAAGTAAATGTACACAGTTTTATCAAAAATTTCTCGCCTTGTTATGTAGCTCGAATTGTGTATTAAACTATTACCGTCCCCGCGGTCGATCGATTCTGTCTTGGTGCTCGTACAATCGAAATCGATCGGACTGAGTCTTAATAGATACAATTACTTTTCTGAAGCAACTATATTCAGGTTTTGCATAAATAATAATGAGGTGTTATATGATAGCGAAGCAACAACGGTGACCCACAAATGCAGGAGTAGTGTACCAATCCCGAGCGTGTGGTGCGTCGCGTTTCGCGTGCTCTTTGAGGCAAGTCATCAGACCACCACAGATGGGGCCCAATAGGGCTGATCCCGATACGGAGCCGCGGAGGACTTAACGGGTTGCCGAGGCTCCGGCTCGAAGGGCTGGAGTAGGAACGGGGTGGTTTTCAGTCAGTAAGAGTCTGACACTCCCTCCCGCTTCACCCAGACGGGAGAAGTCATTCGGATGATTTCCCTCCTTAAAAAAGTGGTGTACCAATAGGTTGACTTATGGGTTAAAGTTAGACAGTTATTTAGTTGCACAGGAATCAATTTTGAGTTGAACATCTAATGCCAAATGTACACATTTAGTATTATTTTTATTCCAATTTACTTAAATTAGTATTCTTTAAGAAAAACTAAGTGGTTTCATAACCATGGAGAAACGAAGCTATTACAATACAATCTGAATAAAGTTTGAGTGAATTAATATTATTTAGAAGTAGCGGGTACAAACATTTCATAAAATAATATTCTACTGCCACAATAGGGGCCAGTGGGATTATGTAATACAATTATCATCAGCCACTTCTAAACCATCTCTTAACTGAAAGTAACTTAGGGTGACGTAGCACATAAACTATGGTACTTGTATAGTTAGGAGTCACCTAAAAATTGGTGAAATCCAAAAGGTCACCTGTCTAATAAGCAGTAATGTTTGAAGTGAGCGGGTATAGTGTAGATTTAAGGTGCGCGCCTAATAAGCTCCGGCACGGCTCAATCATAGCACCGGTACGGCGTTTTTTTGTTTCGGAAACAATACAAAAAGGTTACAGCTTTTTTATATTGACGTTATGAAATAGGTTATACAACACACGATTTTAAGTTCATATTTAAATGATAAGTTAATTGCTGGGTTGGTGCCGTGCCGTGCCGTGCCGTGCCGTGCCGGAGAAATGCTTTTTAGGTGTGCGATGACTTTTAGATAACTTGTCCTAACGCGCTTTAGTTTAAGTAAGGTTAGCCACTAGATGATGACCGTGAAGTGAATACTTATTAGGTTATAAGTGATTACTACCTCATTATGTATTTGCTTGTAGATTTAGATAAACAGTAGTGAATTTAGCTCATTTTATAGCGACTAGGAACTAAAACCATGCATACAAATCTTATCCATTTTACTTGTTCATATATCCAATATTTCTAATTGGTTATGTACTTGAAATATCCAAACCAACTTCCATCCAATTATTTTTATACGAATAATTCTGCGGTCTCGAACGTAATTATTGAAATGTTTGCCAAAATGCATGTTTATAGGTTTTAATTATAGAAGATTATTTTATAATCACCGGCCAAATTTGGATATATTCATCGGCGAAAATTATTGAATACATGTTTCTTTTAATATATCATATCAGAAAGGTGTCTTAGATTTGATGTAAGAGTAACTGTCTACCACCACAACTCATTCATATCAAACAATAAAACGAAATTGTTTTTGAACCAACTTGATTATCAAAAATGTAGTCACTCAATGCCTAGAAAAATTTGGTCGGTGACAAAAAATCTTCTGGTATTACAAATGTACAAAAGACAGTGAAGGAACGTGTAGATAACTATATTGTAAGTAAGACTAAGTTAAAGCAGGCTATAGGTAGTTAGGTTTGTAGAGATATGTGTCTCGGTAATTGTCCTTAGCCCAAACATTCTACCCTCTGGAGGACCTAGGACTACGAAATGTCATGGCTATTTAGTGTATTATAAATAAGGTAATCTGATAATTTACGTTTAAAATTGCTGTCTACTTCGTACGGGTTCTGTAACTATCCGGTTGAATTTGCTACGTTTCCGTTTACACAAGTCTTGTCTCAACAATTAGGAAAACAATTTATTCATTTGATCTAGTCGTTCAGAAGTTATGAACTTTCAAATCCTTGAACGCGTTATTTTATTTTCCTAATTGTCAACCATATTTCAAATGTCCACAAGTCCTGAAAAACCAGGCTTAGATTAAAAAAGAAACGAGTGTTTACTCGTTTCTACACATTTTTATTTTGTTTTGTACCTAGAATTTGGGATATCGGCTTGTCGTGCTTTATTGTCGTGTACCAACTGTATTTTTAACCGTTTTATTTTTACATAATTTAGTTTTAATAAATAATATTTTTAATGTTTATTTTTGATCTTGTGTAGTACAAATATAGTATAGTTTTATTAATGTTCTTTTTAGGAATTATTGAACTCAATTGGTGGTTAGTTCTGTTATAAGGAATTGTTGTAATGAATAGACGCTCGCAATGATCTTGGAGTTCCCCGAAATATATTTGGTATTCAATCCACGCTTGGTTGCTTAAAACTATATTCGTTTATTATTTGTACCGTTTATTCATTCCATAATATTTGTTATTGTTATAGAAGTGCACATTCCACATAACAATTAATGATCTATTTATGATACCATCATTGTATTGCAAGATGATGTGCAATATTGACTCTTTGATCGCCGCATTGGTACTTCCTACGCATCAATGTCCTATGAACACATCAGACAATAAGTGCCCATCAATGGCGGTCAAAGGGTCAAGAACTTTGTACTGTTATTATGTGCAATTATTTACAATTTTAATGAATGTTACTATGTATTTAACCCTTGACGCATATGGGGTTGTATTTGTTAAAGTATGTGTATGTTTATACCATCACTGTGCCTTGATGATTATTTTTTATTTAGAAAAATTTGTAGATAATCTGTACAAAGTATATGCGCATTATAAACTATTTAATCGACGATTCGATCACCGATTGCACAACTTGATTCCCCCTAGTCCTTTCCATCGTCGTACCACAAGACAATCGGCGAAGCGTCATTGAATCATAGTAGATGTCCCACCCACACGCGCGAAGCGCTTCACATCAAGCTTCCTTATGCGTACCTACTGCTAAGAAGCGGAATTCTTTACCAGAGTCTGTGTTTCCTGAAGGGTATAACCTGAGTGTCTTTAAGGCCCGAGTGAATAGGTTGCTTATTTGCAACGTGCTCCATCGTTGGCCATATCATCGCTCCTAGCGAGATAGTGCTTAAACGTCGGCCTATCAAATATATAGAAAAATAGAACGAATGAAATAAGCAATTAAATATTTACAATATTATTTTGTGGGGACTTATTTTACTTGACATGCATTGTTCTCTTAGAGGCCATTCTTTGGCAAGATAGATCTTAAAATATCCATATTTGTTTAATGATTTAGTATTCTAACTCTATTCAGAAGCTTAATGTCTGATGAACTATTATTTTCACTTGGTATCCCTTACTATAAAATGGGGAACATTTGTTACTCTTAATATCGATTTGAATTGTTTCAGATTTAGTGAATACATACTTGTGATGTTTTTAAACTTTAATTTCAAATGACGTTGATTTTTAAATTGGAATTCTTGATTTTAAATAACTTTTATATCTTTGTGTTAATTCAATTATTAATGTATTAATATTTGTACGCCAAGCAAGGCGAAACAGTGTAACTTACCCTGATTTTTACTTACGAACATCTATGTAATACCACCTATGTTACAAATAAATGATTATGATATGATTACGATTATGTTGATTTTCTTTAATAAAACCATGTTGATTATTTACTGATGTTTTAATACACCATTGATGTTCGTCTAAAACTCGTCACTTGCAAGGGGAGCATTGGGATAAGACGGAAAAAAGACAAAAAGTATTATGATAATAATTTTATTACATTGGGTTTTACCTAGTTACACATCTGAGCACTTTATCACTGTCGTGTCCAACACACAGCACAACAAACAAATAATCGAAACACTACATGAGTACATCCTAATAAATATATTAATATCTATCAACATCACAGTTTGTATCAATATGCATGACCGGAACACGCTTGGCATTTGTACATTAAACCTACCTATTTAGGATACTGCTTGATATGAGAAAAATTATCAAAGATCATGGTGAAAATTTAATATTTCTATATCCATTTATATTTATAATTCAAAAATGCTAATTATTCGTTAAGTCCACGTAAAATCCGGTCACTTACAACCAAAAGTAAAGTCGGTAACAATTTAGCGAGGATAGAATTTATAACTAAACTTTGTTGGGAATCAAATTAAGATCTTTGATTGTAGGTCAAAACATGAAACAATTTTTAAATAATATTCATTAAAAATGTATAACGGTTAAAACATTTTGCTGTGCAATCTTACGACCTTATATTAATCCTTTCCTTATCAAATCACAGATCTGTTAACCAGGATCGCGGCCGACAGCGATTTTCACGGAATATCCAACTGAATTATTATCAAAGAGTATCAAAAATTTACGTGAAGCTGCGAAGCTGCGGCACAAAAAAATAAAAAAACAGTCATTCCTAACTAATATAATGCGTTCAGTTATACTTGTTCGATGTTCAATACTTAGTACTTTTAATACTAATGACCTACTTGTAACTTTGATGTCCTCATTAAAATAAAAATAAAAATTGCAACTGGAACATCGAAGAAGCGTGCTACATAAATTAATCCTTAGTCTGATTGTACTTTATCTCTAGCAAAATGCCACCTTTTAACTAGCATTCAATCTCACTGATTTAGGATAATCGCTTACGCTTGCTACTAATACTAACGACTTACTATTACAACCGCTTACTGTTGTGTTAACCCGACAACTACAATGAGACCGGTATTTTGTTGCATAACACTAAAACTATCCACAGGGGCGTCTTAACCTGTAGTGCAGGGGGTGTCAGGCACCCTATTTTTACTTAGTGGGTAGTACGACACAAGAGGGCACTTATTTATTGCACCCAGGCGCTACATGCATTAGAGTAGAGACGCCCCTGATTAGCCATACCTATGTATTATTAAATTAACTAAATGCACGTATACATATATATTCTCAAATAGACATAAATGATTTTAGTTAAATATGTGAAAAGGAATATTCTATGGATATCAGATAGAAAACATAAGAATGTTGCAATGTGAATATGTGATTATCGAGCAGTTAGAGCAGATCAAAGGAGACATACAACTAATGCTTTAATCCTTCGAGCAGCTTGATACAGATCCGGCAAGAACTTAATTATTCTTATCATATCACTAGCTGATCACAGAGTCGTCGGGTACGGCCACCATCAGCTCCTAACATACGGCAATATATAACAATTTATTATCGAAATCAAAATGTAATTGAATTAAATAATAATTTAAATACTTAATATTTAATACTCGATTAGTTATTGCAATAACTCATGTCACTGGAACTAACACATAATCAAATGAATTAAAGTGTAGCAGAAGCATTTGCTTGTTGCCCATGACAAATATATATATAGACCAGTGTACAGATAATTGAAACAGCATGAAATATTGTACCTATGTACGTCTACCTATAACACTATACTACCACTAAAATAAAGCTGTCTTACAATTAATATGAGTCAACAATTCATAATACATCTCTTATAAACTATATGTTAACGTTTCAATGGAAAACGTCCCTCAAAAAATACTTATACGTCTACAATATCCTAGAGTATGTACCTAAGAAGAATCGTTGCATTGTTGAATGCGGGACGGTTCTGCGATGGCACTGCTACGAGAGTGGTTCAACGCTCCCGCTGGGTCTTGTTCAGGGCGCGAGCGTTGTGTTACTGGCTACGGTGTGGTTGGAGCCGGCCTCAATGCCGCCGGTGCCGAAAGTAGCGATGATGCGCTCAAGTGAAGTCCAAGTACCGACGACAAGTCCCAGAGCTCCGAAAAGCACGACGATGGCGTTTTTGACAATCATACGGATCCGCTCAGAACGGGACACGTAGTACCAGTACGTGCAGCTTTGGATCAAGGCGGGGAAGGCCAAACCAAGGGCTGATAAACACAGAGCTCCGAACAGTGAGATGAATAGCTCCAGAGCCGGCACAGCCGCTGCGATACCAACTGCACAAAAAATAATGTGTTTAGTTTACTTTCGATAAAATTCTTAAATAAAGCTCATAATGTACCTACATAAAATAATACTCACAAGTCATAAGCACGATGGTAGTCCTGATGAAGTACTCCCAAAGAAGTCTGTGTTTGCTATTCAGCAGACGTATGCCGATGTACTCGTTCCACAAGATGTCTATCGCGACATAGCAGGCGAGGCCGTGGGTGATGAAGATTGCGAAGGCAAGCAGACACTGGACTACGTTGGCGAGACTGGAAGGAGGCAATACATATCGATTAAAATTATTGATTTTGTTAGTGGAAGCGAGTAATAGTCTAGTCATTAAAGTAATTACAAGGCCATGGTACTTACATTTCTTTATCAGAGGGCAAGTTGAGGGTGATACTGCCTTCAGACTGGTCACCGTATTGCAGGTAGCCGAACAAGCCCATGCCCACGTATAGGATGATGATGCTGATCATAGAACAGTTCAGCACTCCGAACTTGCCGACGAAGTCTCTTGGTGTCTTCATCTCGTTTTCTAAGGGCAGAATCTGCAAAATAAAGAATGTTTAGTTAAAGGTTTTCAGAATAGCTACATTTGGTTTTTAAGTATTTTAGTTCACGAAAGAAAATATTAAGTCCATGCTTACCACGCCAATAGCTTCGAGAGCAAACAGCACAGTTCCGAAGAACAACGGGAAGTTGGCCAGTTTTCCTGCTGGGACCTTGCCTTCCAGGGTGGGAGTCTCTCTGAAGATGTAGTACAGGATGATGCCGAAGCTCACGATGGTTACCGCGTTTGCGATGGCGGAGAAGGGAGCCAGATACTTCAGGTCTCTCACCCAGTTGATTAGTACCAGCGGCAGTAGTACGCACAACATTACTTGTGTTACTGTTATTTCTATACCAAAGTGCTTTGTGAGTACGAAGTAGATGTTCTCCGACACGAACACTACGTATACACAGCATGTTCCTATTTGGTACACCAGTAGAAAAGCGTTCACGACGTGCCTGTGGAAGAAAAACATAATTGTTCACTTGACCTTGTTTCGCATCGCCAAAGGAGTTATAAGTTTATTATGCAAATGTAAGTGCTTTATATATTTTTTAGATAAAATACCATTATTCATACTGCAGTTTGTAAATTCCCTGTGTACTGTGTGTATTTGTAGTGTAGGTCGCGATTTCGAAAATTCAGTTCAATGCCATCTATTATTTCGTCGTGAAAACTATTTGATTACAACTACCACGTGAAAACTACATCAGCACGTTGCATTCCTCGTCGTTTGGACGCTAATGTGTTCAAGACTTAAGTATTGTACCCACTTCAAATACAATTAGGTTTATAATCTAAAACTTCATATTTAAAATAATTCTACAACATTGTTAACAAAATAAAATTTTTAACAATGTTATCTATTTAGAGTGTTTACAACATTATTCACAAGTTGATAACAATAGCAATTATAAGTAGGACCTACTTCATTTGCCAAGGTGGTCTTATTTATTTAAATATGTATACCAACAGCTTCTGTACACATAGTAAGTATTAAGAGATAATATAGGTAACAATAGGATTGGGCTTATACAGTCGCCAATTACAGGTTAACCAACTTTACAATTAGGTAAGTGATAAATAAAAACTATACAAACAAATAAGGACAATAAAGTTATTAGAAAACATTGCATAATGAATCCACATCAATAAAAAAATATACAATTCTAGAACTTTTCTGGTGTCTTATAGATTCATTTACAAAATCGACACCTAGGAAAATGAAAACTACTTCTGAATTCACCCAAATTCCTTGCGGGAATCGAATCCTAGCCACGGTGGCGCAGGAGCAGAAACTGCAGTTAAACTCGCACGATACAAACCTCCATAAAACTATCCATACAAGTTTCAAGCACAATTATTATAATAAGATACTCACGCTGCATAAGGCGCGCAGGCCTTGCACCAATCAGGTCCTTCCAGAAGCGCTGCTTCAGCGGCCGCAGTGTACGACAGAGATGGCACTTTTCTTCTTTTGCAGAGCACATAGCATGAGTCGATCAGGATATGTATACAGTACGTGCATAGGACACCGATGACCACGGTTCCAACGGAGCCGACTACGTAACCAGCGTTGGAAAAGGCTTTTGGCATGGCCAGGATGCCCGTACCCAAACTGCCCTTCATCAGGTGAAGAAAGGTTTCCAAGTTCCTGTTGCAAAATAAATCTATTGTTATTCTTTGTAATATGGTATTTTTATACGTACCTATTAACGTCTAACATTCTAACATCACACCTTTTATCCCCGAAGGTGTAGGCAGAGGTGCACATTATGCCACTGTACAATGTAACACCCACTTTTCACTATTCATGTTATGAGGTCCATGTAATAGGGGGTGAGCCTATTGCCATATACCGGGCACAGTTACAGACTTCCTGCTAATAACGTACTGAGAATTAAAAACCCAGTAATACTTTGCCCGACCCGGGAATCGAACCCGAGACCCCTTGCCCGACAGTCGCTCTTGTGACCACGAGGTAGCAGTACCTATTACCGTATCTATTAATATAACAATATCATATAGAACTTTATGTATACAGATAAGATCTATTTGCATCTTTGGTTTGTTATGGCGCCATAACCATACGCGTTTGTTTTGGCACATATTGAAGTTCTTTCTTCTGCATGCCAATCAAAACATAGTTGATTAACTAAAATCACACGTAAATATTTCAGGGTTTGCATTCGTAATTAGGTCACCTTATGATAATAAACAAAATTGTGCATTTATTTTGAGTATTAGGTATAATATTAGGGAGTATAGTAAACACAGACATTATCTGTGTTTAAACTTACAAAGCAACGTAATATATATATATATCTTTTTGACTATTCCTAGACTGTAGTCATATTCGCAAAAATCTGATTTATTGTTATATTGAACTGTGTGGCATAAACCATTAGGTGGTAACAATTTTTATGAAGAGGTTTGTCTACAATTTTAAAAGAGTTTTCTTCAAAATCCTTTTTTGTTTCATCCGTACCTAACACAAAATAGGATTGAGTTGTTAGATAAGATCACTATATACATAGACGTGTCTAATTGTAAGTTAATGTACCTCTATACAAAACTTGCTACTATTTCTACGGCTTATTAATACATAAGAGTTATTATATGTAGGTATATCTGATGCCAGTACCAATTTTACGTAGATAAGTAACTAAGTTATGGATCTACAAGTTATTATGTATCTGAGTGACTGATGAAATATTCTGTACACGATATGACAAACGGAAGAATTTCTTGTGTGAGTTGCAAGGCTGTAGCCATTGCTTGTGGACGTGATTCGAATCCTAATTACTTTTAATGTGCGAATCTATAAAGTAATTTTGCATTAAAATGACATTTTTATAAATTGCACATCATTGTATTGTTAGATTATAAAAAAATCACTATATCAAAGATAAAATGACGCAATGTTTTGATCTCAATCTCTGTCATATTGAAGTACATAGATTACTGCAAACAGGACTGTTGATTGAAATCAAATTATTCATAGTTTGTTGTAGTTTTCCGCAATCATAGTTTGTTTGAATATCAATGTAGGTAAGGTGCAACGCAGGTTCTTTACTGCACCGCAGGCTAACACAACTCCACACGTGTTTTACTCACGTGTTAGAATACGCAATTAATGTAGATTTGATACATACATGATGAAAAGGAGATACAGAATAATTTGAATAATCGTCTCTGCGTCATTCTTTTTCTTGAGGGGGTAAAATAATATAATGGCTTCTCCAGCCCTGGTGAGGCGAGAGGGAGTGTAAGGTTCTTACTGACTTAAAACCACTCCGTTCCTACTTCAACATTTCGAGCCGGAGGAGCCCCGGCAACCAGTTAAGTCCTCCGCGGCTCCTCGGCATCACCCTAAGATTGACTGGTAGACGCACTCTGCGAAACTCTCTAAATAAATGCGAAAGTTTCGAGAAGAACCAAGAAAAGCTGTCACTAAGTATGTACCTATGCTATTATTTTAATAAAAATAAGATAGGCTCACCCCCTATTACTTGGGACTAAATAGTGAAAAGTGGGTGTTACATTGTACAGTGGCATTGAGTGCAGTAATGTACACCTCTGCCTACCCCTTCGGGGATAAAAGGCGTGATGTTATGTTATGTAAAAATAAGAAAACACACCCTTTAGCTTTGAATATTTTATATCAATGATAATATTAAGTTAAAAAGGTAATTTGAATCATTCTAGAATCTTAATACAGTCGAACTGCAGTATTAGAAACAGGAGCAGTATAGAACGTTTTATTAACTTGTACTTAATTATATATCAGCATTCCAGGCATGTTTGTTATCAATATAAGGAAAAATCCTTGTTGCCATTTGTCATCGAGTTTTTAAAAGGAAGCTGGAGAAGGAAATGTTCTTACGGAAGTTAATTTCGTGATTAATGCTTAGTCAGTAGTGCCAATATTGTAGGATAGCCTTGAGGATGTGATATCTCATGCCCTAAGAAAAGACATTTACATATTTTTATAGAATAGAAAAACAATTGACATCTGTAAGTTATTTACGAAATGTGGAATATAAAATAAGCAGTCACACAGGTCCACTAATCACAAAGTTTTTCCAATTCTACTAACAAACGTTGAAGTGTGAAGGCTAACACTATTTGATAAATAATTCAACTACAAATGACCTGTACTGATTGCCGCCACCTGTCCAGCACACTAGGATCTACACTTACAGTGGCGTAACTGTAAGTACAGGGCGGCATGCCGGCAAAATGCCACAGGCCCCTGCCTTGAAGGGACCCCGTTCAGGAGTTTTCATTCTGAACTTCTCTGTTTTTAACTTGCAACGGGGTCTCATCGGATGGGCCCCCGTTACACGCACCACGGCTTCGAACGGTATAGTTACGCCACTGGCGCCATGGGTATAGAGCCGATGGCTTCAAAAGAAACATAGTATTTAGGAAATTGCCAATCATTTACAATTTATAAGCACTTTCTTTTACAAGTGGATACTTTACTTAAATACTTATCTGCAAATCAATGAAAGATTGACGTTGACTTTATGATAACAATTCAGTCTAATTTCTTTATTCATGTATAAAATATAGGTACCTTTTACTAAGCAAACTAAGTATGTACATAGTTACTCATTCTCAAGTTTAGGTACTTTCATTGTAATAAGACTGTGATTTATGCTTGTTACGGGGTACCTTTATTCAATAATGCGCTGTCTGAGAACCAATCCACGTTCTCCTAGGCTTGGTATCACATTACTCATTAATCTCTTAGCGAACCATCCACCAATGGACGGCAAACAATCAGTGAACATAGACTACTAAATTACCGTAAAGACTTAGTAATTTACCACTTGGAACATGTCCCGCCTTCACGAACAAATTACCCCTACTTCTACCTACTTACCCACCCTTAGGACGTTAGGACATTTTACACAATACTCTATTTTGGGATAGAACTCAAGGAGCATGTTAAAAGAGTAAGTAAATTCTTTTCGTTTATCGGTTGACTCTTGTAACTATTTGACGAGGTAACTTGACTAGTTTCAAGCCACGCTGGAGGCTTACCTATATTCGTGATCAGTACGACACTGCAAACGTAGTGCAAACAACTTTTAGTTTGGAAAACAGTTACGTGAGTACCTAAACCGTGAGTAATTACAACGTGTTCCTACTCTAGGAATTATTTTTTTATGGAATTAACTTCAGTATATAGCTTTCTCAACAAAAAAGAATTGCCAAAATCAGCCTATTTTGTATAATTCTTATGAACCACCTCTGTTCATAATTATGAATTAAACTTAGGAGAATTTTATTAAAATGACTATAATGCACAGTAGCAATGGCTTATGTATTAACGGTACTTATGTATTATTGGTGTTTAATGATGATAAAACATTTTAAGCAGTAAATGAATGATGACGTTGAATAATATCAAGGAATATAATTAAAGTTATTTTTTGATCGGTAACAATAACTCCGAAAGTGATCGTCGCGATATTACTGACTGACAAATCATAATTTACTTTCGAATATATGATAATGCTATACCTATCGTCTATAAGTACCTACAATATCCAGTAAAATATTACACCGCCTAGACTAGTTACTTATTTAATAATTTCGTGTGTTAGTGCAAATAAACTTAGATAAGTAGGTATGTACTTACGTTGTAGGATGGTCCACGACTCTGTTGTCATAGGGCTCATACTCCTCAACCTCGGGGATGGTCTTCTCATTCATGTTGACGAGGAAGATGCTCTTGTCTCCAGGCCTCTTCTTCTCATCCTTCACCGGTGACAGGCTGCCGAAGAAACAAAACGATAGATTACCATCTTTTATTAAATCATCAGTTGTTCAGTGGTGTCGGAAAGTTAAACCTTCAATAAGTTCAAATATCACTATCACTAGTTCACAAAACTATCGTAACAATATAACAGTGACGTGTTTAAAACTTCGCATTAAGCAAAAATATCTTTTGATACCGTTTAACTAAGGTTCATTGTTCTCACTTACTTTGGTCACTCGCAAATAGCCACTATTTTTATACAAATACATTTTTAATTTACCTTGCATATGAACAAAATTAAACTTTTGCAAATAGTGATATTAAGCTAAAGGTTACGTGCACGTACCCCTCCATCGCCCCTTCAGTTTGTCATTGCTAGGAGACCGATGTTGCTGACTCTATTGATTCGCAGCAACTCAGTTAACGTCCATGTACAAGTGACGTACAAACCGCAATGATTATAACACCACCCCGTAGACAACTACCAGCACCCGCTTCAAAGGGTTGTCAACTAACCTACATTCACTTCAGAATGGAGGAGTTATGAAATAGAACAGAAATATATCTGGATATCGATTAGTAAACTAAGCCATAGGGCTTGTTAGTCGGTCGTGCCATTATTTCAAACTTTGCAGTCATTATGCAGCTACCAAACGGTCGGCGGCGTCACATCAACTATTTATAAAACGTTTATAAATTCACTTGTAATTATTTACAATATCGATTTTAGAGCTTTCTTTGATGGTGTAAGTCTTGAAGTGGATCATGTTACTGTTTACAGATCTAGCTTAGACGACTCGGCGAGTTTTACCAAAACTAGTTTGTTGTAAGTAATATGTTTACAAACAAAATCCCGTTTGAAAATTAATGAATCGGAAATAAAGCTGCAGATTTTATTAAAAGACTTTCTTAAATGCACTTTTATTGGCATAAAATGCTAATGCAGACGCTGGTAGAAGCGGAGGTCAATAAAATCAAAAGTTGTAGGTAAAATTTGATTTTTGAATAGGATCTTACGTTTACCGGTATTTTGCTATGAACGTAGATTGCAGTTTAAGTAGAACGAGTTTGCTAAATGTTTTGAGATACCGGTTGTTGGCGACTTGGAGTTTTCGAAACGTGTTCCGTTTTCGACATTCAATTTTGGGTGTGCATTAGCAGAATGGCAGTGGTAGATGTCTCACGCTAACCTGTCCAATACCAAAGTAGGCACAAACAAATGGGTGATTTATATCATAGCGTATTGTTATTGTAACAATATGTAATTAAGGGTTGACGTCAGTTGCCTGGACGATCTAGTTCTCATGTCGTTCTATCAGGTCCAAGGCGGAAAGGTTCTCTATGAATTGACCCTATCGTGCAAACGTTTATTTATTTTAAATTATTTTTCCTTCAAGCTAAATTGGCAAGTGAGACTGTTGCTTTCGATTTATTTGTTCAACCGTTCGTTAAGTGTGTCTCTGAGGGGATACACATGTCTCAAAGATGAACATAATGTACGTGCTCGTATAACTTTTATTTAACATTCATTTTTGAGTGTGGCGTGCACTCGGATGTAATACCCTTGCCTTTATAACATTTGGTCCATAACATAACTGGCGGAAAATGTTTGTTAAATTTAACATGTGCGTACCTACAGCAGCGAGAAATAAAATGCGTGATGATATTATCAATGTAGAACACCACTTCTATTCAAACAATATGGTCATAATGACACCTATGACGTCACAAATTGGTCAATTTCTCCATAAAAAGAATAAATCAATAGTAAGTAGTTAATGTGGTTGTAAATGCCAAGTGGTGGTGGTGCCATACATTTGTCACTAGCCCTGTTCGTTTGGATTTCTGCCATTTCAGCAGTAAGTTTCCTCTTTGAGGAGTGGCTTGAGATATGCTACGGCGTTCTCACCTACTGCCTGACGCAGGTCCTCACCGGATATGGGAGCATCGGGAGGTACTTGTGTCTGATAGGGCGGGAGGAAATGCCCGGGTGTATCACTGCGAGGACCGTCCTGAGGACACGGTGGAACACACGGTAGGGGTGCCCTGCGTGGGCTCAGCACGCCGTCGCCGATCACACCCCTGAGGGCACGGCGCCCTCAGGGATGTGATCGATTTTGTGTGGGTATCGTAAGTGATTAAGTGACTTCAAGGTTTAACAGAGATCGAGAAACAGCGCTTTTTTATAAACTGTGACCTCCAGCCTTTTTAGGCTGAACCCGCCTTAAAGCAGAAAGATTTTAGCAAGCCCTTGTTATGAAGATGATAACCACAGTCCTGTCATGGACTGTCAGGGGCTGCTAACGCTGATGGTGATGATGAATGTGGATGTAAATATTCACCTTTGTGGTAGGAAGTCGTCTGGCTCGAACGACGGGTTGATCATCGGGCCGCTCTGCCGCCGAGACCATTGTTCTGGCTCCTGAAATGAAACATGGATTTTAATATTGCTCTCGCCACAGTAATTGAAAGAATATGGTATCATTTATAGAAATATTAATTCATACATCTTTGTTCTTTATCGGGATGTATTCATTTTTGATATATACCGACAACTTAGTAGAAACATAAACCTTATACAGTTGCTTCGCGAATGAAATAATATTAGAACATATTTTGAAGATCTTCATAGTTTTTTGTAAAGGTGACTCAATGCAGTTTATTTGACATTCTTAATGCAGAGACCAAAATGATGTTTAAGTACATATATCATGACGCCATAACATTTTAACTCTACCGAAGCAGAGGTAAGCAGAGTTTAAGAACAGACTGCTAAACAACATGTCGCGGATTCGAATCCCATTCAAATTCTATCTCATCATCATCATCAACAGCCTATAAATGCCCACTGCTGAGCAAAGCCTCTTCTCACACGGAGAAGGTTAGAGCATTAATCATCATTAAATTCTATCTGTGATTTACAAATTGTTGTTTCGGATGTAGGTGATATATGTGGATGTATTTTCAAAAACAGGAAATGTTGTATTCTCCGCATAATTAGTTTATGTATATGGAATATTATGGAATAATCTATCGATTCGTTTTAAAATACAATTCAGGCATAGAAACAACCAAAGTATAATGAATTTAGATCAACCTAATCTGTGATATCTCGCGCTAAGATTGGCTAAGAATTTGTTTATTATATGGGGTGCGCCCACGCATACAGATCGACGAAGTATCACGGTCGGTGATCTATTTGCACGCTGCTGTATTTTGGCGCTCGTCACGTGTGTGTTTGTTACAATTTCATTACAAATGATTTTGGTCCCATAAATAGTCAAGATTTTCCAAGAATAACAGAAGTATCATCGTTATTATTTTTAATGATGATCTCAATTTTAATGTGCAGAATTGATTAAATCCGTATTATAATATGAGATAGAGATATTCCATTCCATCCAGTGAATAAACATTAAAATTTTATTATTATTCTATTATTTTATTATTAAATTTTTTCTACTATAATATAACAACAAATAGGTATTCTAATTGGCAAACATTTAAGTTACAGTCGTAAAAATTTTCCTTAAAGTAAATATTGATGATATTTATTGGAAAGTTTCTCTACCCAGAATACATTACATACACATTACATCGGAAATTAACAACTGATGACCTATATAGTTACAAATTGTCATTTTCAGATTATTTTCATGACTCATGAAGTCATGAGTAACGATCATTTCGAAGCAATGCAAAGACGCCAGAATATTTATTTATTTATTATTTATGTTCACACATACACTATAAAGGACTAGCTTCTGCCCGCGACTTCGTACGCGCAATCCCGATATTTCCCGTTCCCGTTCTTGATTTTCGGTAAAAAATAAAAAAAAAGAATTGGGTAAAAAGTATCCTATATCCGTCTCCTGGTTCTAAGCTAACTCCCTGCCAATTTTCATCCAAATCGATTTAGCCATTCTTGAGTTGTAAATAGTGTAACTAACACGACTTATACAGATTAAGTATATGTGCTGACATATGAAATTGAAGTACGTAGGTACCACTTATTCCTATTGGAATTTCTTCCTGTGGCAGGAAAAGTAAGAATGATACAAGACACAGTGTGGCAAACACAGAAATATTAAAAAAAGTTCTTTAATATATCTGTGGTGGCAAATAAATAATAAACAGAAAATTGACATAGAAAACAGACTTAAAACTAAACTGATTAGGAAAATCCATATCCATACGTAAAAGTAAAATAATAAATATAAGTAATACCTACATACCTATAACAAATAAATGTAATATAATATATTTATAAATACATGAATAATATAGAATAGGTATACATTCATAAACAGGTGGGTACTTAGGTACCCTTTAGGTTATTTTGGTTTATGGAATTATTTATTTACCTTTAAATTATTATGGTTGCGGTTAAACTTTGTGGGTAATTTTGTTCCGTGCAATAACCAAGTGTGGGAATTTTAGCTAGGTATTGTTTGATGGAACTCATTTAATTTCATTTCTATTTTTCTTTTTCAGACATCAACAATACAGCTGAAATGATACTTTCTAAACACCGTAGCATCTATACCTACGTATGTTTTAATATATATGTGTTGTTATGTTATGAATTCCAGGAATCGTATTCAAAACTTATCCAACTGTAAAACTTTCAACCGACCAAGTTCATTTGGCTGACAATTGGTAGGGAGGTATCTTAGAACCGGGAGACAATGACGTGGGATACTCTTCTCCTAGGGTTTCCGAAAACCCTCCGGGAACGGAAAACAACGACATTGCGCGTAGGTGCGAAGTCACGAGCAAAAGCGTGTATATAATATAAAAGTCGATTCTTAAACCTCCTGTGTGGTAGGTGCTAAAATATAATAATTATCAAACCATACATTAACTTGAGTTCCTAAGAAATGTTTTGATGTAAAATCCTAAGTACTAATTAACACAAACCCCTTGTGAGATTTCTTTATAAAATTCATTTGTTTATTAGTAAAGCAAATATGTTTTAAGTGGGTATTTATTTGTGTGTCGCTGTGTAGAACCATTCATACACATATTGCTTTCGTAGGTAAAAGAAAATCATGAGATTTTGATAAAATATGTCGAGAACATTCCAGTAATTAGTATAAGAAGATGACGTGACGTAGCCAAATTGGTTTTGGTGTCTATATATTTATTAAAATATAAAATATGCTTATAAACACATTAGTTAATTTAAAATTGTAGCGATATACATAAATGTCAATAATATTCTCGGAGTAGTCAGGTAGGAAATGCCAGTTTCATCTAGATTTTTTTATAATATTGACGTATAAAAGTGCTATAATGAGGTCTATTTACAAAAATAATCATTTCATTTCACTTCATTGAGCGAGGTCAGGCGCAAGCGCATATTAAGCCAGATGTCAAGATTCTAGAAGTTTCTTAGTAACAGCACGGAGTCCATGCTTATGCTAGTGAACTGTTGATTAAAGAACAAGTTTTTAGAAATGTAGGGTTAAGTATAAAGGCATTGTTCAGTGCAAGACAATAAAGTTCATGCCTTATTACAAGAGTTTTAGAATATAACTGGTGAAAACTGGTTGTTTACTAGGAAGGTATATGTATAGGTCCCTCAGAGCATATAGAGCCAACTAAGTAGAAATCCCACACTCCCTAGTCTTTCTCCCTTAAAAGACTAGGCGCATTTTGAATGTTTCCCTCCGTCAAAAAAAGGTACATGTACCTATATCTTTTCGGGAATTTAATACAGTGATAGTATGTTAACGTATCAACAAGCTATAAATTAGATGACGATAATTAAATACGTATAAATAAATGTCAAGTCAGAATATAAACAGGTCCTAAATAATTATAGTTTATATTAATATTTTGCTTAAAAAGCCAATGTCAGGATACCTTTAGATAAAGGTGATTAGTTTTTATTTATTTCCCATCAAAAGTACAATGACTTCAAAGTTCAATATGAAGTGAACAAATAGCAGACAGGAATTTTTCTGGCAATGTAAGTCTCTCCTCTTATGGTAGGAAGGCGACAAACTCGTCACCCCCTATTTACAAACAACATTGTCAGATTATTGTCAGGTCTTGGCTGACAGTCAGACGGTCAATTGTTTCAAACAGTCTATGAATGCGATGGGGTTGCCGGTGACGCAGTGATATTGGATTGTAACAGATTTATTTCGTACGTCAGCGTATATGCATACTTGTATCGAGTGATCTGTTGTAAACAACGATTATCTTTGTTTTTTCTTACAGTTACAATCGATTTGTCGATGAATTTGTCTTTAACAAACAGATTTTTTTTAAATACCTTCTTTAATACATTTCTATGTTAAGTAGCCAATTACCGGCCAATAGGCTATTGACACTAAATCTTTATTTTTTTCTAAACCTATAACGGAACGTTATTTATTCAAATGAAAGCTAGTTTGTCTCTCTTGCTCAGACCACTGAACACGGATTTTGATTCAGATCTAGATAGGATCCGGGTTTAGGATGATTAACTTAGCTGTCAAAATCTAGAATAATAAGTACATTCGAGGTGCGCAAGCTGTTTTATATTTATTTAAACTAAGAACCTGCCTCAATAGTTATTTTCGTATGCAACTCAATATTTTAGTTGTCATCACGCCAGCAAGCAGGTGTCTATCGTTGTATTATTAAAATAATAATAAATGTACAGTTGACTACAAAAACCAGTCTCCATGATAATGTGTATAAAAATCGCATTATGTTACGTAATAATCGCAACCTCTCAATGTGTGCGCATATTATGTTGTAATTAAATATTATTAAGTCTTGAGTTATGCATTTACTTATCACGAACCGGCTATAACCGCTTCTGGAGACAACTTATCAAGTATATTGCAATCACTGATTCCCTTGATACATGGCATTACCATACCGAATGTCTTAATGCTAACTTTTGTGTATATGCTGTAAGGTTTGCAATTAAGAAATGCAATAAAACTTTATGAGACCAGAGGATCAAACAAGAATGAAGCCTTGAATTTGTTAAACACCCAAACTATGGTTGAGCCAACAAAACAGTAGACAGTAAACAGAATAGGCAGTTTCTCTAAGAATATAATAGGAAAAAAGTGAAAACGCAAGCGAGTTATTGTAATTTGGACACAATATAGAACCGCTAACCAGCCTACATGAAATGCTGACAAATGGCAATGACACGAGGTGCCTTTCAAGTAGCGAACTGTACAACAGACGCCAATGCCCGGCGCCCATATATCACAATGGAGAAAGGATTTTAAGTAGCCGTTGTTATTCATGTTCGTAAAATGCGTTACAAACTAACCTAATTGAAATTACATTGGAAGTATGTATGAAACAAGTTTTGCATAATTCGCATCATGCTTCACTGCGTGCGAGGATATCTGCTTTTGACAATGCTGGTACTCAGTCTGTGATACTTTATTCAATATACTGTTACCCAG